GGGTCATCTTGGAAGATGGCTATACTAGTTCATCAAGAAAACCATAGGAAATATTTTTCTCAGAGCTTCTGATACATGACTTTTCAGCCTGAAAAGGTCCATTAAGTACTAAGGAGAATGAAAAAGATTCACCTAGATACATATCATAAAACTTCCTATCTCTAAGAATCAAACAGTTATAAAAGTGTCACAAGAAAGGGGAAAAAAATGCTAACTCACAAAGGAATAAGAATCAAATTACCACCACACTTCTTTTTTTTTTTTTTTTACTTTTTTTTTTAATTTATTTATTTATTTATTTTTTTTTTTATCACAACCATAGTGTATCTTTTTTTTTTTTTTTACATGTATTCCCCATCCCGGTCCCCCCTCCCACCTCCCTCTCCACCCAATCCCTCTGGGTCTTCCCAGTGCACCAGGCCCGAGCACTTGTCTCATGCACCCAACCTGGGCTGGTGAACTGTTTCACCCTAGATAATATACGTGTTTCAATGCTGTTCTCTTGAAACATCCCACCCTCGCCTTCTCCCAGAGTCCACAAGTCTGTTCTATACATAGGAGTCTCTTTTTCTGTTTTGCACATAGGGTTATCGTTACCATCTTTCTAAATTCCACATATATGTGTTAGTATACTGTAATGGTCTTTATCTTTCTGGCTTACTTCGCTCTGTATAATGGGCTCCAGTTTCATCCATCTCATTAGAACTGATTCAAATGAATTCTTTTTAATGGCTGAGTAATATTCCATGGTGTATATGTACCACAGCTTCCTCATCCATTCATCTGCTGATGGGCATCTAGGTTGCTTCCATGTCCTGGCTATTATAAACAGTGCTGCGATGAACATTGGGGTACACGTGTCTCTTTCAGATCTGGTTTCCTCGGTGTGTATGCCCAGAAGTGGGATTGCTGGGTCATATGGCAGTTCTATTTCCAGCTTTTTAAGAAATCTCCACACTGTTTTCCATAGTGGCTGTACTAATTTGCATTCCCACCAACAGTGTAAGAGGGTTCCCTTTTCTCCACACCCTCTCCAGCATTTATTGCTTGTAGACTTTTGGATAGCAGCCATCCTGACTGGTGTGTAATGGTACCTCATTGTGGTTTTGATTTGCATTTCTCTGATAATGAGTGATGTTGAGCATCTTTTCATGTGTTTGTTAGCCATCTGTATGTCTTCCTTGGAGAAATGTCTGTTCAGTTCTTTGGCCCATTTTTTGATTGGGTCATTTATTTTTCTGGAGTTGAGCTGGAGGAGTTGCTTGTATATTTTTGAGATTAATCCTTTGTCTGTTGCTTCGTTTGCTATTATTTTCTCCCAATCTGAGGGCTGTCTTTTCACCTTGCTTATAGTTTCCTTTGTTGTGCAAAAGCTTTTAAGTTTCATTAGGTCCCATTTGTTTATTTTTGCTTTTATTTCTAAAATTCTGGGATGTGGGTCATAGAGGATCCTGCTGTGATTTATGTCGGAGAGTGTTTTGCCTATGTTCTCCTCTAGGAGTTTGATAGTTTCTGGTCTTACATTTAGATCTTTAATCCATCTTGAGTTTATTTTTGTGTATGGTGTTAGAAAGTGTTCTAGTTTCATTCTTTTACAGGTGGTTGACCAGTTTTCCCAGCACCACTTGTTAAAGAGGTTGTCTTGTTTCCATTGTATATCCTTGCCTCCTTTGTCAAAGATAAGGTGACCATAGGTTCGTGGATTTATCTCTGGGCTTTCTATTCTGTTCCATTGATCTATATTTCTGTCTTTGTGCCAGTACCATACTGTCTTGATGACTGTGGCTTTGTAGTATAGTCTGAAGTCAGGCAGATTGATTCCTCCAGTTCCATTCTTCTTTCTCAGGATTACTTTGGCTATTCAAGGTTTTTTGTATTTCCATACAAATTGTGAAATTATTCGTTCACCATCACCCTAATTCCAAAACCAGACAAAGATGCCACAAAAAAAGAAAACTACAGGCCAATATCACTGATGAACATAGATGCAAAAATCCTTAACAAAATTCTAGCAAACAGAATCCAACAACATATTAAAAAAATCATACATCATGACCAAGTGGGCTTTATCCCAGGAATGCAAGGATTCTTTAATATCCGCAAATCAATCAATGTAATACACCACATTAACAAATTGAAAGATAAAAACCATATGATTATCTCAATAGATGCAGAAAAAGCCTTTGATAAAATTCAACATCCATTTATGATTAAAACTCTCCAGAAAGCAGGAATAGAAGGAACATACCTCAACATAATAAAAGCTATATATGACAAACCCACAGCAAGCATCACCCTCAATGGTGAAAAACTGAAAGCATTTCCCCTGAAATCAGGAACAAGACAAGGGTGCCCACTCTCACCACTACTATTCAACATAGTTTTGGAAGTTTTGGCCACAGCAATCAGAGCAGAAAAAGAAGTAAAAGGAATCCAGATAGGAAAAGAAGAAGTGAAACTCTCACTGTTTGCAGATGACATGATCCCCTACATAGAAAATCCTAAAGACTCTACCAGAAAATTACTAGAGCTAATCAACGAATACAGTAAAGTTGCAGGATATAAAATTAACACACAGAAATCCCTTGCATTCCTATACACTAACAATGAGAAAACAGAAAGAGAAATTAAGGAAACAATACCATTCACCATTGCAACAAAAAGAATAAAATACTTAGGAGTATATCTACCTAAAGAAACAAAAGACCTATACATAGAAAACTATAAAACACTGATGAAAGAAATCAAAGAGGACACAAACAGATGGAGAAATATACCGTGTTCATGGATTGGAAGAATCAATATTGTCAAAATGGCTATACTACCCAAAGCAATCTACAGATTCAATGTAATCCCTATCAAACTACCAACGGTATTTTTCACCACCACACTTCTTATCAAATTAATGGTAAAAGACAAGAGAGTAGTCCTTTATCAGGTGTAACAAAAAATGTGTATTAACAGGGAATTTTACATTCATCCAAATGAACAATCAAGCACAAGAGCAAACCAGAGTCCCATCTGGAAATAAAAAGAATCAGAAAGTTTAACTTCCAGTACAAGCATTACTGTGAATATACTTGCACTCCAATAAAATAAGACCTCCAAAAAGAGATAAGATGCAGGAAACACCAGATGAACCCTGTAAGAGGAAAGTTCCAAGGTAATAGATGGACAGCATGCCTACAGAGCAAATGGACCAGACTGGAACAGAATTCTATGCAAAGGATGATTGAGTGGGCAGAATAACAGGGATATCAAAAAGGCATGTTAGTTAGAAAAAAAGGTAGTTGGAACTTTCAGGAAAAACAAAAGACAAAATAACAAATAGAAATGAGTAAAGGGTGGTATAGTTTAAGCAACTGCAAGACTGTAAGAAAAGAGGCTATGTACTAAATACAATCTCCTTAATGCAGTCTAGGAGTCAGGTCACTGGAGTCAAAGAAAATAAATGAATACTAGGCTATTATTTAGCCCTGAAGTCAACAGCATTCAAAAAGTTATCTTGATGTTTTTCAACATTTGGAATAAACCTTTGAATGGAAGACTTGACTGCAACTGCAAAATAAAATGTTAGCAATGTTAATTTAAAAGAAAACAAGTTGACTTCCCTGGTGGCAGAGTGGATAAAAATGCACCCGCTAATGCAGGGCACGTAGGTTTGATCCCTGGTCCAGGAAGATTCCACATGCCACAGAGCAACCAAGTCTGTGCACAGGAACTACTGAGCCTGCCTGCTGAAGTCCGTGCGCCTCCAGCCCGAGCTTCACAAGAGAAGCCACCACACTGAGGAGTCCGTGCACCGAAAGGCAGACCCCCATTCACCGCAACTAGAGAAAAGCCAGCACACAGCAACAACGCCCAGCACAACCAAAAATTATAAATAAATAAAAAGATATGTTAAAAAAGAAAACAAGTAACTTCTAAAAAGCAGAAGGTGGTGATGATGAAAAGAAAAATGAAAGATAGGGGTGCTTACTAGTTCATTTTACATGAAGAGATATGAAGAAACTGGTTATAGATAGAACATTTAAAAGATATTAGAATTATCTTTAATGTGTAAAAACCAAAAACTTGCAAGTATCCATTTTTGGAAAGAAGGAGGAAGAGAAAACACAGAAAACAGAAAAGCAGTATCAATGAACTAAATCGTCATCTTTCATATAAGAAAGTCAACCGATAGCAAGTTAATCCAACAAACAGAACTTAGTATACTTTACATCAAAGTTATATCCTGAACATAAACTCCACTGTTGACGGTTTAGAACACATTATGCTAAATCTGGACTGACCCTCCTCTTCTGAATATCAGTTACATGTGCTTATGTGCATGAGAATGTATTTGCATGTTTGAACATACATTCTTGTATTTTATTTCAGCATTTTTGTCTAAAAGTAAAAAAAAGAGAGGGAAATCACTGAAATGCAAGAAGTAGTCAGAGAAAGGAGTATCCTATTAACTGAAGACAGATTAATCGAGATTTAATCTAGTTCTCCTATGTCTGTAAGAGATTACTCACAAGATTGTACTGTCTGTCACACAGGAAAAGGGCATCCTCTCTCATTGTAAAATGCTAATGCTAATCCTAATGGAAATAAGAGGTGCACCCGATTTTAAGAAACAGTGAACGTGTGAGCAGCAAGAGAAACTTAAAGTATCTGAAAACTATTTTAAGGATCTTAGAATAATTTCACATGAAAAAATCAGAATAAGTAAGTTCATATTGATGAACCTTATAAATCTAAAGGGCAGTTTAACAGAAGAGAGTAGCAGAATACTACTGTATTACTACCATCAAGAACTTTCTAACAACTGCAGCTAACTCAACAACAGAATGGACCACCTATAATAAAGGTCTGATCTTCCCTCACTCCATTGATCAAGAAAGACCAGAAATCATCTGTCTATAATGTTAAAAACTGATGGATGATAGGACTGGATAAGTCCTATGGTAATAACTCTAAGTATGAGTGTTCTAAACTAATAAATTTTGACTTACCAACATCCATGGCAGTTTCCATGAAGCTTTTCTGTCGTGATGCAAACTCTGCAAGCAATTTCTGCTGTCTTTCTCTAGCCTTTTGTCGCCTAGATTAAACAGAAATAAAGTGTTAAGTACCAGACACACTTAAGACATATCTACTATCTTTCAGGAGTATATGTGTGAAAGGGTCCCTGACACACAGTTAAGAACAACCAAATTTTTGTACTATGTTTTAAATTTCATGTAAAGTTTTATTGTCCTTAAAGGATTCTGCTGCTTTAAAATGGTCTGAAAATCACTAGGCGTAAACAGGTAAAAATTAAAGAAAAAATTTACTTTAAAATGTGAAATAATAATTAAAGTAGACAAAAAATTTTCCAACTACACAATTTCCTAAGTATATGTCAGTTCATAGTAAGAGCAAGAAAAGCTTTAGCTAAAAACTCATAATTTAACCCCAGGTACAAATAATAGCAAGCTCACTGCTAGAAGAAACTATTATGTTAAGCTATGAAAAGAATCTAAAAGGTAAAAATAGTCAGATTTACTGTTACCTTAAGAAAAGGTCTCTCCTAAAAGAGGATTAACAAAAAGCCAGGAAGTTTTCTAGTTTCTACTAGGCAACAGCACAAATTTGGCTTTTTCTGTTTGAAGTAAAAGAAAATAAATTCACTTTATTCTATTTATTAATTATCCCTTATCTACTTCCAAAGAGCATTTTAGTCTGAGGTTAACTGCAGAAAAAAAAAAAAAAAGAGTGTAATATAAGTATAAAAAATAAAAGTAAACTAATAAAGACAGGAGATAGGTTTCCCCAGATTTAAAGATGCTAGTAATACTAATAAGCATAAAATTCTACCCCCAGAAAGGTAAGGTTAATAAAATAATTCAACACAGGAGGGAGAGGAAGAATAAAAAAGATTTAAAGGTGTGTTATATATTAACCCATCGGGAAAGACAAACTTTTCATTTGGAACAAAACTCAAAAAGGAATTTAACACAGCCCATGATACAAAGGACATTGAAAACATAATGGATGTAATACACTATAGAAGATTCTTTTAATGACTATTCATTATATTTATCTACTGCAAAAGAATTTTATTAAACTGAGATTCTATGAAGTTATTTCTATGGGAAACCTAAAAGAATTCAGTTATTAATCTGAAATGATTCAAGGATACAGAAGATAGAATTTAGAAGAATGGAATGCTAATAGTAATTTTAAGATTATTTATACATCTGCTCCCACCCATTTAGTGGAGATAATCACAAACATCTATAAAATCAAGTACTATGGATCAGTTTACCCTGCTGCTGCTGCTGCTGCTAAGTCGCTTCAGTCATGTCTGACTCTGTGCGACCCCACAGACGGCAGCCCACTAGGCTCCCCAGTCCCTGGGATTCTCCAGGCAAGAACACTGGAGTGGGCTGCCATTTAAGTGACATATATCTGCCAATACAGTTCAAGAGATTTTTAACATTCCTTTACTAATATTTACTTTAAATATAATTTAGGGTCCACATAAGAAAACTAATTTTATTATCTATTTTGTAAATACAACTCTTATATTTTTATGTTTAAACCAAAATATTATCATCTGGGGTGATCACTCAAGTCTACTCATCAAACTTGACTCCCAAAGACATTAGCCATCTAAAAATATTAAAAACCACTCCTGCCCTCTCCTTCCTTCCTGAATATGGAAGGTGACACAGTGGCCTAGGACGGGGTGTCAAGACCCAACAGCCTGGCACAGGAGGGCATTAAGAAATTGGTTACATACAAGGGAACTAATAAAAAATTAATACTATTAAGGATTATAGGGGTCAGGTTTCTCATTGTGGGACTAGAGAGCTATAATTATGAAAAGAGAGAAAAGATGAATAAATCCTATGGTGCTGGGTTAGAATTGGGATTATCAGGTTGAACTCACAGTCATAGTTTTTAATACCTCTCTCTCCCCTCACTATATCCCCCTCTTGTGCACACCCTTTTTGATCACTAAGAGAGTCTGTGAATGAGCTCATTAGAATGAGTGCATAGACTGGTTTCCAAGTAACATTCTCCACTAAAAGTAACCAAGACTATTTGGACAAATGTCTAATATAAAAAAAAAGATGAATCTGGGCTATCTTCTTGGCCCAGGAAATAAGAAAATAATCAAAGAATGGTGGGGAGAGAAATACAAAGAACACAGAAACCAGCTTGAAGGGACTCCCACTGGTCAAATCTAGAACAATCTGGGCATCAAAATGATTAATGAGCAGATCATAGCTCATAAAGTAAAACAGAAATCTGTAACTCTAAACTGATACAAGCAGATAAATGAATGAACTGAAACAATGAAGAACAGAATACTGCAGCATCTCAAAGTATCTCTCCACAAATTATTAACACATACTAATTACAAAGGTGAGGAAGGGGAGGATATTTACAAAGACTTGACAGTGGAGTCTAAAAGATACCCCTTTAATCAAGTGATCAAAGTTAATCAGTAGTCATGAAACAAATTAAAATCATGTAACAACTGATGGGATGCAGTCAAAACAAAACAGCAACGTTCCCACCCCTGCCCTTTTTTTTTTTTTGGCTGGGCCACATAAGCTGTGGAATCTTAGTTCCCTAACCAGGAACTGAACCTGGGCCACAGCAATGAAAGCTGAGAATCCTAACCACTAGGCCACCAGGAAACGCCCCAGCAACACTTTTTTGATATTGTTCTCAAAGATGTATCATCCAAATCCAAGTATAATGGAAAAGTAGACAAGCCCAAATTGAGAGATATTTTACAGTGTTACTGCTCTGTAATTTTCAAAAGTGCTAAGGTCAAGAAAATAAAGGAAAATGGGATGACTATTCCATACTGAAGGAAATCAAAGAGATACGACAACAAAATATGACGAGTGATTCTGGACAGGATCTTTCTGGTATAACCAACATTACTGGAACAACTGTCAAAATTTGGGATCTAAGGATTTTATCATACTCAGTAAAATGCTAATTCCTTTATTTTGAAAGGTGTATTCTGATTATATAAGAAAATGCCCTTATTTCTAAAAACTATGCACTCAAGTATTCCACTGTAAAACAACTTACTCTGAAATGATCCAGAAAGTTCTCTGTATTATCCTTGAAACATTTCTGTAAGTTTAAGATTTTTTCAAAATAAAAAGGTTTTAAAAATTAAACCCATCCTCAAAGGACTAAAATTTGTCACTAAGGAAGAAACAGAAACAAACAAAAATGTGCTGTAGATGCTCAAAGAACTATGAGACCTCCAAAAATATTTAAATAATAATAGCAGTGATAGAATATATGTTTGGTCTTCTATACTACTCCTTCATAAACTAGTAAGTTTCACTGTTTCTTTAATTAAAACAATGAGCTATGCACTCTACAGCTGACCTTTAAATATGTACATGTACATTTACATTTAGAACATATAGGTTCACAAAATACTATTTCAAGTAACAAATCTGAATACCAAACTCATTTTGCCTGCACTGGCAAGCAGAATCTAATCCACTGTGCCACCACGAAAGTCCTAGAAATGAATTTTAATGCCAGTGCCATTCAATCATATTAGAGGTTTTCTTAAGAAAATTGATGGGCACTAGTATTAAGATTCATTTCAAGGACATCCTTGGTGGCACAGTGGATAAGACTCTGCCTGCCAATGCAGGTGACACGAGTCTGATCCCTGCTCCCAGAAGATTACACATGCCACAGAGCAACTAAGCCCCTGCGCCACAACTACCGAGCCCTTGCTCCAGGGCCTGCGAGTCACAACTACTAAAGCTCACGCACCTGGAGCCTGTGCTCCACAACAAGAGACGCCACCACGAGACGTCCGTGACCCACAGCGAGAGAGCAGCCCCCACTCTCTGGACTAGAAAAGCAATGAAAGACCCAGCACAGCCAAAAATAAATAAATGAATTTTTTAGAGAAAATTCATTTATATTCTGGAATTACTATAAATTATAGATAATTATGTCTGTCAACTTTAGTCTGTGAGACTGAGCAGAGACTCAGTCACACCAGGTGACTTCAACAGAAACAAGAAAATATATGCATATCATTTTAAATTGTGTTTTTAACAATTTATTTCTGTAGTAGTTGTCTATGATTTCTAGAAAAGGAGTGTTATTTTTCCCTTGTGAATTTTTTCATAATTTAGGTTATTCCTTTCTAAACTTGGACATAAAGGTGCATAAAGACCAATAACAAAAAGACACAAGTTCTAGCAGGTTCATACAACTCAGTAATTTTCCATTATGACCTAAGAAGTAGACATACTAAGGTTGCATTTGGTTACAACCCTTTAGAGTTTTCTATTTGTATCTAGTTTTCTCTGGAGTTAATCGTTATGAGGGGTTTTCCCAGGTGGTGCAGTGGTAAAGAATCTGTTTGCCAGTGCAAGAGATGGAAGAGACTCAAGTTCGATCCCTGGGTTGGGAAGATCCCCTGGAGAAGGAAATGTCAACCCATTCCAGTATTCTTGCCTGGGAAATCCCATGGGCAGCAGAGCCTGGTGGGATAAGTCCATGGGGTTCCAAAGAGTGGGATATGATTTAGGGATTAAACCACCATCAATCTATTATGAAAGTGATGTCAAGTTTGTCTACAGCTGCGGTACCTGGGAATAGATCATTACGTGTATATAAACTGTTCTGCCTTTATTATGAAATTTAACCCAAAACCCAAAATAAATTGAGAAAAAAAAATGTGAGAAGCACAGCAAGATTCAAACTGATTCATTTTAATTGTTAGCTGTCTGCTACAGAATTAGTTTCAAGTCCTTGTCAATACTATCATAACTCAAAGGGAACAAGCCCACAAAAAAAGCCTTAAATTTTTAGGATACTATTTATTACAACAGCATTAGAGCCTTTGTAAAAAAAAAAGACGAACCAGAGATCAAATTGCCAACATCTGCTGGATCATCAAAAAAGCAAGAAAGTTCCAGAAAAACATCTATTTCTTCTTTATTGACTATGCCAAAGCCTTTGACTGTATGGATAACAATAAACTGTGGAAATTCTGAAAGAGATGAGAATACTAGACCACCTGACCTGCCTCTTGAGAAACCTACATGCAGGTCAGGAAGCAACAGTTAGAACTGGACGTGGAACAACAGATTGGTTCCAAATAGGAAAAGGAGTAAGTCAAGGTTGTATACTGTCACCCTGCTTGTTTAACTTATATGCAGAGTACATCATGAGAAATGCTGGGCTGGAAGAAGCACAAGCTGGAATCAAGACTGCCAGGAGAAATATCAATAACCTCAGATACGCAAATAACACCACCTTTATGGCAGAAAGTGAAGAGGAACTAAAAAGCCTCTTGATGAAAGTAAAAGAGGAGAGTGAAAAAGTTGGCTTAAAGCTCAACATTCAGAAAACTAAAGACCATGGCATCTGGTCCCATCACTTCATGGGAAATAGATGGGGAAACAGTGTCAGACTTTATTTTTGGGGGCTCCAAAATCATTGCAGATGCTGACTGCAGCCATGAAATTAAAAGATGCTTACTCCTTGGAAGTAAACTTATGACCAACCTAGACAGCATATTAAAAAGCAGAGACATTACTTTGCCAACAAAGGTCCATCTAGTCAAGGCTACGGTTTTTCCAGTGGTCATGTATGGATGTGAGAGTTGGACCGTGAAGAAACCTGAGTGCCGAAAAATTGATGCTTTTGAACTGTGGTGTTGGAGAAGACTCTTGAGAGTCCCTTGGACTGCAAGGAGATCCAACCAGTCCATCCTAAAGGAGATCAGTCTTGGGTGTTCATTGGAAGGACTGATGCTGAAGCTAAAACTCCAATACTTCGGCCACCTCATGCGAAGAGTTAACTCATCTGATGCTGGGAGGGATAGGAGGCAGGAGGAGAAGGGGAAGACAGAGGATGGGATGGCTGGATGGCATCACCAACTCGATGGACATGGGTCTGGGTGAACTCCAGGAGTTGGTGATGGACAGTGAGGCCTGGAGTGCTGCAATTCATGGGCTCACAAAGAGTCAGACACGACTGAGCGACTGAACTGAACTGAAGAAAATAGCATCTGAACTATGTCCTCTAGTATCTGTATCTGTTATGAATAATAATGACAAAATGCCTTTAAACAAATAGAATAAATTTTGATTCACTGAATGTTTTTATCTTCCTTAAAAAATAAACAGACATTATTCTATAACCAAAACAAAAGATGACCAATTTAGAAGAGGACCAATTTTAGTTAACAACAAAAAAAATTTACCTCATTTTTAACTGTCCAATATTATCTATTAAATTCTAGGTAGCTACCAATTCAAAGTTAATGAACTTTCACCTAAATTATGTTACTATATTACAACTTCTATTTATAAAGTACTATGAGAAATAAGAACTCTCCTAAATTTTTAATGTACTAAAAATTTTGTGTATAGTTTTATTATAAACTATCTGTAACAAAATTATGCCAAAAATGAAGAACAGCTATGTTTGATTAAATCTGCTTCTGATACAGTTACCAAAGGATGACCTCCTAACTAATCAAACGGGACTGCCAATCTTAACTAAACTTCTATAGCATTTAACAATCTTTCTTCCTTTCTGACCCTCCTCTTATGCCTCTCTAACGCCATTCTCTGCAGTTTTCCTCTTATTTCACTCTAACCATCCCATTTTGAGTCACCTTTGTAGGTGCTCCTTCCTCAGTTATTCCCCTTTATGTTTTTCTCTTGAGTTTTATATATACTAAGTGTGCTCATTTTTTTATTGTCCATCCTCTTCCACACACAAGGCTCTATCTATTACCTATATGCCTAAATCTGTAGCTCTCACTCAGAATTCTCACCTAAGTCTCTAACCCTATATCTAACTGGACATCTTCACCTGGATCCCTTCCTTAAACTCAGTAACATACAAAACTGAGCAAGTCAATTCTACCGCTAATCCTGAGCCACCTATCCTCCTTTATCTTGGTAAACAGAACACTGTCCAAAGAAAAAGGGAGAGATTTTATAAATATTATGATTTAACAACAAATTAAAAGCAGCCTAAAGTTTCAAAAGCTAAAACCATCAAAGTTTTAAGACACAGCTTGTTTAACAATTTGTGATCATATACAGGAAAGACTGGAAAGCACTAAAAGAAACTAAAACAAATTTTTAAGGACTATTAAAATTTTTCTTTTATTTTCTACTATCATTTAAAGTTGAATTAATAATTTTTTTAAACAGCAAGAGAATTATTAGCTTTCCCACAGTAGTAACAGACAGCAACTTTTCCAAAGGGGTCTACAGGTTTGTGCATGCATGCTTAGTTGCTCAGTTGTATCTGACTTTTCATGACCCCATGAACTATAGCCCACCAGGCTCCTCTGACCATGGGATTCTCCAAGCAAGAATACTGGAGTGGCTTGCCATTCCCTTCTCTAGAGGATCTTCCCAACCCAGAGATTGAACCTGGGTCTCCTGCATTGCAGGCAGATTCTTTACTGTCTGAGATACCAGGGAAGACCTTAAAGTTGAATTAATACTTAAAAAAAAAAATAGCAGAATTATTAGGTTCCCCACAGAAATAAAAGCAACTTTTCCAAAGGGGTCTACAAGTTTAGAGTTGTAATTTAATGTCAGGGTCAGTGGTGGGCTGCATGAACCACAAGATGGAATCAAGATTGCCAGAAGAAATATCAATAACCTCAGCTACACGGATGCCACCACCCTTATGGCAGAAAATGAAGAATAACTAAAAACAGCCTCTTGATGAAAGTGAAAGAGGAGAGTAAAAAAGTTGGCTTAAAGCTCAATATCCAGAAAACTAAGATCATGGCATCCAGTCCCTCACTTCATGGCAAATAGATGGGGAAACAACAGAAACAATGAGAGATGTTATTTTTGGGGGCTCCAAAATGACTGCAGATGCTGACTGCAGCCATGAAATAAAAAGACGCTTGCTCCTTGGAAGAAAAGTTATGACCAACCTAGACAGCATATTAAAAAGCAGACACATTACTTTGCTGACAAAGGTCCATCTAGTCAAAGCTATGGTTTTTCTAGTGGTCACGTATGGATGTGAGAGTTGGACTATAAAGAAAGCTGAGGGCCGAAGTACTGATGCTTTTGAGTGGTGAAGTTGGAGAAGAATCCTGAGATTCCCTTGGACTGCAAGGAGATCAAACCAGTCAATCCTAAAGGAAATCAGTCCTTTCCTAAATTTTCTTATTTCCTAAGTATTTCTTAAAGGAAATATTCATTGGAAGGGCTGATGCTGAAGCTGAAACTTTAATACTTTGGCCACGTGATGCAAAGAACTGACTCATTGGAAAAGACCCTGATGCTGGGAAAGATTGAGGGCAGGAGGAGAAGAGGACAACAGAGGATGAGATGGTTAGATGGCATCACCGACTCAATGGACATGAGTTTGAGCAAGCTCCGGGAGTTGGCAATGGATAGGGAAGCCTGGCATGCTGCAGTCCATGGGGTTGCAAAGAGTCAGACACAACTGAGCCACTGAATAGAAACTCAACCAACTCAAGCACGCTAAACGCACAAGCAATGACTATCTTTGATTTCCCTCTTCTTACAAACCAATCAGGTATGATTATAGCTAGCCTCAGAAGACCAAAAGTCAGGGTGGAGGTGGTAATATAAAATCTTCAACTGCATCATACATTAGTTTAAATCACTAAAAATAACAATTACCTTTCTTCTTTGTCCAGTGTTTTCTTCTCTGCTGCAGTAATCTTTTTGGGTGGTACAGGAGGGGTCACTTTTCTACATATCTCTTCAATGATGCGTTTGTTCATTCTGCTTTGCAATGCAGCTTTTAGTAAAATTCTTTCTACTGCAGTTATACCATCTCCATGACTGTATTTAGGAATCTCTGGTTGGATTAAAATTTCTATGTCATCAAGCCAAGGAGGATAGTAGGAATTTTGTTTTCCTGAGAGTTTGTGGTGAAGTTTAATTAACAAAGACAATATACTTTCTTTAATTTCCAAAATGGCTGTAGTTAACTGTGGAGCTGAACCAGGTGCAGACCATTTACTTGAAGTTTTAGGACGAACCACCTGATTTGCTTCACTGCTATTGCGATTGATGATCTCCTGAAACTTCTTTCTGCGCTCTGCTACTAAGCTGAAAACTTGAGCTGTACCAGAATTCTACCATTCAAATGAGAAAGAAATAAAAATCAAGAGGTTATTCACATTGTTTTAAAATACATTAGCATTACATTTTCTAAAGGGTATGTTCAAAGTTTCATCCAAAGGTTTATTTAATAGATTTGTTTTTAAGTAAATTTGTCCCTTGACTTCTCTCAAATATACTTAGTCCCACTCAACCTGGGAACAACAATGAGAAAAAGGAGATTATCCATAGTAACACTTCTTCTGCAATCCCCAAAGCCTATCAGGGAAAATAGACAGAGGTTCAGCAGTATCTACAGCCATATTCAAAAGGAATCATAAACTAAGTCTTTCATCAGTTTAAAGGAATCAAAGCTATCCAATATACATCAAGAATACTACACTCCTGACTAACTTCTAGAAGACCACGATATCTTCCACTTAAGAAAATTATAAATTAATTTTTTCCAAGTTAATGAATCTCAACTGCTAATTAATTTCATTTTTAAAGAACTTTAAAAGTTTGAAAATTACTTCTAACATAAATGCTTTAAGTTACTAAAGTGAAATAAAAAAATGAAAAATTAATCTGTTTCATATTTAATATAACTATAATTATTTATTTGAACAGATTTTTTTAAACTATTTTTCTCAATAATTTATCTTCAAAATAGCCTTTTTGCTAAAGCAGTCAAACTACATTAGGGTTCTTAGAAATCATCTTTTAATTAAGATACAAGTCAGTTTAAAAGTCTGTTCTATACATCTGTGTCTCTTTGTCTTGCATATAGGGTACAATACTGTAAAGTAATTAGCCTCCAACTAATAAAAATAAATGAAAAAAAAAGATACAAGTCAATTTAATAGATTTCACTAAATTTTTTTAAGCAAGCATAGAAACAATGCTTCAATCAACTGGGCTTTTATGAGCTTAATATACATTATTTTTTTTTAATGTCCAAGCTGTTTGTCAAAGTTCCCTCTACCAGCATTAGAGGCAAAAGCTGCCTCTTACAGACTGCAATATTTTAATCAAAATTCTTTATGTGTTCACAGAAAAAGCATACTGTCAAAGACAAAGTTCCTACAAATGAACTCTTCAATAAGAAATGTACAATTCAATGTTCTTTACTTGCAAAAATCTAGATTGTAGGAATTAGAGGTATTTAAGTTTAGTTACTTGCCATGTCATTTCAAGATTTTTCATTTCTGCTTTTTATAAATTAATTAAGCTACATGCAATAAGACAGTTTATTTTTTAAATGAGTCCAAATACACAACATAAGAAGTTTAAGCTTTTTGTGGGGCTTATTTTATCAGTTAATTAACTGATAATCATATAAGCAAAAAAAAAACTGATAATCATATAAGCGAAAAAAAAAAAAAAAGGGGGTGTTGTGAATGGCATGCCACCAGCAACTAAAGATAAAATTTATTTTGATTTCGGAAACATTCATTTTTAAGATGTTAGTAACAATGCTAAATGTAAACAGAGCAAAATGTACTGCTTATAATTGGCCCAAAATACCAACACTACTAAAAAAAGCTCACTATTAAATATGCAGTATTATTTTTTAAGTTCAATAAATGGATTTTCTTTAAAAATTAAGCCTAAATTACTGCATTTTAAAAAGAATGCACACATACATTAAATGTTTCTTTATTCTAACCATATTAATTAAACACACACATATACACACAAATATTTCAGCATTTGTCCCCATTTCCAGTTAAAGCCACATTGCTAGTTAATGCAAGTATCATATACATCTACCTCTCTTTGAAGAACTTTAGGCCGACGTGAACTCTGGCAGATTAAAGGAAAAAGATGGGTGAGGCAGAAGTTGCTTAGATATATCAGCGTTGCTTACATATAAAGGATAATTTAAAGTTATCTGTAACCACATTTATTTTTCTTTTGGATATGACTGTTTTTGTTGTTGTTTTGTTGCTAAACGTGTTCAACTCTTTTCAACCCTAAAGACCACAGCCCGCCAGGCTTCTCTGTCCCTGGGATTTCCCAGGCAAGAATACTGGAGTGGTTGCCATTTCCCTTTCAGGGGATCTGCCCAACCCAGGGGTTAAACCCGCGTCTCCTGCTTCTTTACCACCAAGCCACTAGGGAAGCCCTAGGATGTGATAAGATGATCTAAATGCCCATCCTAATATAATGAAGTCTTTCCCTTTTTTGGTCTCACTTTTACACTTACTTGTAAAGATCCCAAGCTATCAGAGCTGGTACTTGCAAGTGAGTCTCTCTTCACTTCTGGAGCAGTCTCTGGAACTCTCACTCTAACATAATTTATAAAGTGTCGCATATTCGATACTAAGTTACTACCAGGAAACCAACTGTCATGACAACGTTCAGGTCCACATGCTGATGCCTGAAACATAAACATAATGAATACAAATCTTGTCAGTCAGGTCCAAGGTACAGTGGAGATGTAACAAGCCCAAATAATAGTTCACTGCCTGTTATATCCTTTAATCCCATAAAGTCACATTTACAAACTACGAAGTGCTAATAAAACCAAATGCAAACATAAAATTTAAAAACAAACTGCTCGATGCTAATATGGAATTCAGCTAAACTTCTCCAGAAGAAAACACATTTTTCAATTTGGAAATACACAGTACAGGATACTTTTCACCACTCATTAAAAATAACTCATAATACAGTCAAATAACGCTAATTTGGACTAACTGTGGAAGGAAGTCTGAAAAATCTATCAAAAGTTTGACTTATTCTTAGAGCAATATTAATGATCTTTTTAATATCTATGAAAGAATATATGTTGACTCAGCTTAAGACTACTAAGTACTGCCTAGCCTTTTCACTTGTCTGTCTATTGCTGTTGTCTTTTTGTGGAGGCAATGAGAAAAATATCAATTAACTGTAAAATCAATTTGTAGTAACTAACAATTACGTTCATGGAAATGACACTTATAAAAGTCCTGAAACACATTAACAACTTATATTCTCAAGTACACGTTCTCCCTTACAACAATACTTACTCCATTAACTTAAAATCTTTACAGAAAGAATTTGCTATTCAAAAATAAAATCCCTAATCATATTAGAATTTCCAGACTGAAGTCCTAACATAATTATTTACCTGTGTGTGTGTGTGTGTGTGTGTGTGCAGTTCAATTGCTCAGTCATGTCCAACTCTTTCTGACCTCATGGACTGTAGTCCGCCAGATTCCTCTGTTCATGTGATTTTCCAGGCAAGAATACGGGGGTGGGTTTCCATTTCCTTCTTCAGGGGATCTTCCTGACCAGTAACTACAAAAATGACACTAGTGGTAAAGAACCCACCTGCCAACACAGGATATGATAGGCAGGTTCAATCTCTGGGTTGGGAAGATCACCTAGAGGAGGAAATGGCACCCTATGCCAGTATTCTTGCTGGGAGAATCCCAAGGACAGAGGAGCCTGGCACACGATAGCCCATAGGGTCACAAAGAGTTGGACATAACTGGGCATCTTAGCACAGCACAAAAATACACTAACAACTTTTCTTAGATCTACATATTACGAATTACAAATTTCAAATTCAATAATTCTATAAATGGGAGTTTTATATATTAGTGAAATCTCTAAAAGAACATATGTAGTTGAAGATTTAAAAGGGTCTTTTCCAAGTTGCTAAGATTTTTTTCTAAGTATGATACTCAGACAAAATAAATACCTTCAAGATGACATGCAATCTTTTATTAAGGCATATCACAACTTTAACATTTACAAATATAAGAAACTACTTACCTCTTCATCTGATTCCTCTTCAGCTGAATTTTCAAGTCCTAATTCAATCAGATATAAAACCATACAGAGTACATGTTCTGAAAGATTTTGATGATCCATCAAAATCTTTAAAAAGGGAAAAAAATGCCCCATATTACTTTTTTCCATGAAACATATTTCACTTAAATATCAAAAAGTATTTTAACCTTATAGACCAATGTAACATAATATATATGTGTTATATATACATATGTGTGTTATACATATAATATATACATGTTATATATATCATATATACATATGTGTGTTATACATATCATTATCAGATATGTAAGTAAGTAAACATACACCTTGGTGAAAAGACAAACTAAAGCCAAAAAAACAGGATCCCTTCCCAGGATTACACAGTATTTAGGCAATATCCATAATCATTAGTTCACTGATCACCTAAAGTTTAACACATTAAATAATCCACTAAAACAATTATTATAAAAATACCAGTATCTAATAAAGTAATTTAACAAGAATATTTTACATTCTAAGTTATTGACACTTTTCTCCTGATTACAAGGATATCAGACAAATGTTTGTTAAATAGGATAGTTCATGCAAATGTGTTTAGCATAGCACCTGGTATATAATTGGGAGCAAAATAATTGTTTATGGAACATTAATATTCTTAAAATCTATCTCTAAAATTACAGTCCTGAGCCTGAGCGTTCTGAGCTCAGAACCTCAGTGTTCAGTGTTCAGTTATGTGCATACACTGTGTACACATGTATGCAATGTGTGGTTTATACAAGAAAGGAAAAAGGAATAAAGTGGTTAGGAGAGAGGTTGTTCTGAGGAAATACTGACAAATCCGACCTTATAAATGGATTATGAAAGCCTTACACATTTTATGCAGGACTCGGTGGGCTAACCTATACCAATCACTCATTCAGTATGATGCACCAAACTATTAACCAGAAGACACATAAAATACCATAAGGAAAAAATAGCCTGGTAGCCATCTTGTTGTCTTCATTATTTAAAAAAAAAAAAAGGCCAGCCAGTCAAAATAGAGATTCTGTGGGGAGTGGCACTGTCAGTTGCAAGTGAGACTAAGGAGAACAAACGAGAGGCCAGTCTAGGCTGAGCCTCCTAGAAACTGCCCAAACAGCAGAGAGGGCTTGGAAAGGCCTCGGTCACTTAGGAGCTCATCTACTGTGACTAAAAAATTAAGACTTCCAGTTCACTGATCTTCTAATGTTCAATCTGGCTACTGAGAAGACTTTTCCATTCATATTTTGTGTGGCACAATGGTGAGGAGAACAGACTTTCAAAACCTTTTAAAAACCTGATTTTTTAATACAAATTTTGTATATACTTAAGCTATTTGATCTTGAACAACATTTGGTCTTAAGTTTCCTCATCTTTAAAACTGGAATAATAGCCCAGAATTATTATGAGGATTATATAATTAACATCTGTAATTTGCTTCATACAGTATCTAGCAACTGGTGTTCAACAAATAGTAGGGAGGTGGTGTAGACAGATGGTGGGAAGAACAGGAGAGCAGTAAGAGGGGACTGAAGGCTGAGAGGCAACAGAGGTAATCCTTTCTAACCCAAGACTTTACAGGGAGGAAACCAAGGTTCAGCCACACATTCAGCTAGCGTAAGCAACACCAGAACACAGATTCCAGACTTCCAATGACTGCATACCATTACTACTCTGCCTCCTTTTAATAAATAAAGCATCATTAGCTAAAATCAAATAAATTTTGGCTTGAGATCCTGTGGCATTACATCTTACGGCTTCAAATGTGTAACTTTAAGGTTAAGGAAGCAAAAATACTTTTTTAGGTACTACAATAAAAGAGGATGGTTTCTGGGGAGTTTTATTAACATGTTCTATATTAAAGTTTTTTAATATTAAAAATGGCAGGAGACGAAATGGTTTACTGACATTGATTTTTAGAAAGTTGACCTGCCAATGCAATGTCAATTAAAGGTTCTTCTATTATCATAAAGTCAGGAATGATATTACAAAACTGAGATTTTTAAAAACTCATTCATAGTAATCTTATAACAACTAAATACTGCCTTTCTATTTTTGAGGAAATATTATTCTTATAGTAAGCAAATGAAAATGTTGAAAAAATATAACTTGAAAGGACACAAATCATTTGCAGTAGTCTTCTTTAATTTTTAAATCAAGATTTACTGACTTATTCACTTATTTAACCTTATTCAGTTATTTAATCTCTAAAACTCAAAAAACATTTCTGAGGTCTTCCCTGGTAGTATAGTGGATGGGAATCCGTCTGCCAATGCAGGGGGCACAGGCTCACTCCCTGGTCCAGGAGGACTCCACATGCTGTGGAGCAGCTAGGCGCATGAGCCAAACAACTGAGCCTGTGCTCTGCAACAAGAGAAGCCCCCACAAAGGGAAGCCCACACACTGCCGTGAAGAGCAGTCCCCACTTGCCCCAGATAGAGAAAGCCCACATGCAGCAGTGAAGACCCAGGGCAGCCAAAGATATATAATACAATGTTTAAAAAGACATATCTGAAAGATGAGAATAAAAACAGAACTGTCATAAGGATTTCCACTAGAATTAAAATAATGTGTATATGTGTATACAAAGCATTTGAAACAGAATCTGGCATAAGTAAACATTGAAAAATGTCTATAAAAGATCAAAATTATAAATATCCTTTTAATAAGAAAAATATTCTATTTTAATGAAAAAAGAACATTTTAAATTACTTTATTGAATAATTTTCTTAAAAACTAATGAAAATAAACCATTCAATTGGTTTTTTTGAGGCCCATGTCTCAAATTTTAACAGGAATAATTTTTGCAACTAAAATGAAAAACTAATCAGGGGGTAGAGTTAAAAAGAATAGGAGGTACAGAAATCTAAAAGCTATATTTGTTTATAACTCAAACATTAAGAAAAAAAACCAAAATGTTTGCTAACTAAATTTAATGTATTAATTTTCTTAAGTAATTTAAATAATATATATGTAGTGACTGGAAATTTGTTAACAAATAGGCATACTTTTTACTTTTAAGTTAATTTTTAATTTTTCAAATTCTAATTAGAAGAAACAATAGTTTTTTTCTCTTTATATCTAATTGTATAATAATTCCTGTCTAAAACTGATAAGATGAATAGTTTCCCATAACAAATGGTGTAGCTCTGTTATTTTCCAACTTAGATTTGAAATTACAAGAATACAATTTATATACATGTGATTATGACATATCCTCATCCATCTTAAATATATAAATACACTTTGCTTTATAAACAGTACTTTTATATTATCTTTTGGCATTTGTATTTAAGAATTATGGTAATACACTCTAATCTAGTCTTCTTAGTCAAATTACTACTGTACCTTGTAAAGCAGAGTGAATAGCACAATGTGTAAAGTTTTACAGTGCAAAAGTCTCATGAGACCTTTATAGCTGGGATGGAGTGGTGTCCTTTTCTTATAAGGTGGCCAAGGATTTCCAGGGAATTTTCCACTCTGTTTCAAACTACAAAAATAAAATAAAACCAAAATTAGATGATAGACTCAAGATTAAACTGTGATTTAAATGGTGATTCCACAGCTTCAATCACATACAATACATGCTACTTTAGCACTTTTTATAATAACTTTATGTACAGACCAGTAAATTTCCTCTACCTTTTCCTGGATATATCATACTATTGATTCATTACTATTGAACTCACAGCCAAGAGCATTGTTTAACAGCCTGAACAAAGCTTATCTAACAACAAATCTTCTCTGTAAGGCACATCAAAGCCTTCTTGCCCTCAGCAACACTACACGGTACTCTGGTACTCCATGTGGGAGACATTCTAAACAGCAAAATCACCAAAGGACAAAAATTCAAAACCATAGCGCTGAACTGACCATGAAAAGGACACTTGTCTACAGTATGAGCTGAAACAAGAGGGCAGTTTTGTTTCTTCCCACTTGAATCTAGGTGCCCTCTGCAAATCCACTCAAATCTGTAAATAACCAGGACTGTGCTCTGATTATTGATTTAAGGTTTACAAATAAATTTACCAAGTAGTCAAATTAGCAAATATAGAATTTGAAAATAATAAGGATCAATTGTATATGACAGAATTAGCATTACAAATCAGTGAGAAAAGCATGGATTCTTCAGTAAATAGTCCTGGAACTGGTTTTCTGCAGGGGGGAAGAAAACAAATCACTACTTCACTCTATACATAAAAATCAACTCCAGATGGATTAAAGATCCAAATATAAAAAAATAAAACTTGAGAACTAATAAAATTTAAACAATCTAACCAGAAAACCATCAAAGATAATCCATACACTACTTTCAATGCAAGAATCATGAAGGGAAACTAAGAAGTTTTTTTTAAAGGCTCAATTTCACCCAGTAATCCAGAGAATGCAAGTCATACATTCAGCATTCAAAGTTAAAAATGACATAATGAACATAAATATTTAATTTTACTTTCACTTAAAACTCCAATGAAAATATAGTAACAGCATTTTTTTTTTTTTAAAGATGAAGAAAAGCACAGGATAAGGAAAATCCAAAAAGGAAAAGAAAACGAAAATTTTGTTAATCGGAAAGCAAATGGCTATGTGGATGATTCTAGTAAACCTAAGAAAACCAAATCACAAGAAGGCAAGGGGGAAGGCTGAAAATCAACCCCAATCCCTCTGCAGAATCCTTAAAAGGCTCAGAACCTGGAAGCATCTGGTACTGCAGTAATTGGGAGTTGAGCGTGTGCTTGCGTGCTCAGTCATGTCCGACTCTTTGCGACCCCATGGATTGCATGTAGCCCGCCAGGCTTTCTGTCCATGGGATTATCCCAGCAAGAATACTGGAGGGGGTTGCCGTTTCCTCCTCCAGGGTATCTTCCCAACACAGGTATCCAACCCGCATCTCCTGTGTCTCCTGCTCTTGGCAGGCAGATTCTTTACCACTGAGCCACCTGGAAAGCTGGAGTTGAGGAGATAGGAGGCTAAAATGAGAACTGGATGAAAACTGCTTCACCCCATCCTAACAGAATTCTGACTGGAGAATTCGTCTCTGAAGAAGGTAAAACACAAGCACAGTTTAGGGTAGGAAGATATGCGGTTGAAGTCAGCAAATGCATTTTGATTCAGAATACTTAGGCTTTGACTCCATCTCATTTACAGAAAAATGGCAGTTAGACCACTACACTCTGGGCAATATTTGAAAATACTTCTTTGAGAAACTTACAAAACCAAAAAGAAAGTTTCAAAGAGACTAACATAGGGGCTTCTCAACAACCTGCCTGCTCAAATCACCCCAGGGTAAAGCTCAGGATCCACAAGATCCATCAAGGCACTGAGAGCTAGCTCTTCATCACAAGCAGTCAGAATTATTAGATATCCTAAGAATGCCTCTAACATGAAAGCTAGAGACCAGCGTAGAAGATCAACTAAAGGGAAAAGGATATTATGTAAGTAGGGGAAAGAAAATCTTTGAAAAAAAAAAAAATTACAAGAAGAGGCAAAACGGTTTCCTGATAAACCTATATAACATAGGTTTGGAAGGGGAAAATTGGTGCAGCCCACATACCCATATTAGCAGAATTTCCTGACATCTGTATGAACACCTATAAAAAGGAAAGAACTAATTCATAGTCTGGTCTCCATACAGAAGTTGATTTTTCCTGAATATCTTCTGAGACAAGGATGGGCTAAGCTGGCTTTTTAGGCATTTCAAGATCCTTCTGTCTTTGGGTATGTTGAGAGCAAAGGCACACTCTTAAGATGCTGATGTGATTCCTCAACATACTATTGATGAGAAAAAACAATACAGACAAGAGAAAGAAGAGGAAATGGCAGCTTCTCAGGAAACTGCTGATATTTCAGGATGTAGCCATAGAATTTACTCAGGAAGAGTGGGAATTTATGGACATCACTCAATGGGAACTATACTTGGTCTCCCTGGGTCCTGTCTGTAAGCCAGACATGGTTATCTTTATGGAGCAAAAGAAGGATCCCTGGGACGTGGAGGAAATGGAGACAACAGCCATATATCCAGGAACTGAGGCCACCACCCAAGTGGAGAATGGTGACTTCAGGATGAGCTCAAGATTTCTGGGGCACCACCCTATTACTTCACCACCAACCAATCAGAAAAAAGTCACATACCCTGTAGCCCTCCCCCTAAATTTTGCGTATAAAAACTTCTCCCTAAAAACAATGGGAGAATTTGGGGCTTTCTAGAGCACAAGCCTCTTGTTCTTTTTGCTTGGTCTTGCAATAATCCCTTCTCTGCTTAAAAAAAAAATACCATTAACATACCAGAGAAATAAGTTGCATCTATGATTCAAGAAGAGGGTGTCATTACACTCTTTAAAAAAAAGAGAGAAAAACTGGTTTCTATATAATACTACAGTGGCTACATATAAGCATAATTTTTAAAACAATTCCAATAGTGTATAATAAAATGTTTTAATTATTATATTTCATTTAGCATAGAAAAGTAATTTTTAGCTTTTATTTCGTTTGATTTAAACACTAGGCCCCTAAATATGCAATGCCTAGATTAATAAAGTGTTCTGACATAAAGGTTATATATTTGTTCAAGGCAGCAGGTAACATCACTTGACTGCTCTTTTCAAAATCATTAATGGAATAATGTAAACAAAAAGCTACATGACAGAAAAAAAAAATTTAAGTGCTCAAACCAACACCTAATTACTGACTAGTTTGAGACAAAAATCACACATATAAACTCATACGATATTCTTTAAAACATGGGCCAACAACCATTAACCTTCAAGATGGGAAGTAACAGAAGTATCAGAAATTAGAGTTCAAAAAAATTTGCTTTCCAGCTGAATTTAAAATAACCACTATAAAAAAACCACATCTGTCTTTTGGAAATGGCCTAGATAATAGTTCCAACACTGCCATTAACAAACATATCTCACTGAACTTCTCTGGATAACAATGTCCTTGTATATAAAATATAACACTAAATTGAATAAATGGTTTTCCAAGTGTTGAATTGTTTTGTTCTTGTTGGGTTTTGTTTTATCTTTCACTTTAAAAGCTGAGCTGTCCATTAAAGGGCATTTTGGAAGGGAGTAGGGAAAGTGAGATGAGGCGCCTTCACTTCTTTAGCCCTCCTCTTGCTATTATTGCCCAGCTCCCTCTTTCAGTGACGGCCCCCAAGACATTTCTACAGAAGCTGGAGAGAAGATCTTGAAGGGCTTTTTCCAGCAATTTTCCAGCAAAGATCTAAGCATCACACAAAGAAAATGGCTTATTTTCACTTAAACTCTCAGCACAAAAAAAATTTAAGAAACTCACTTTTCATTCATTTAGCAATTACTGATTATCTACAAAGTGCCTAGTATCCAGGTAGATTCTGGAGACAAAACAGCTTTAATTTACCTACTCATTTTCTCCATAATTCTTCAAAACACCTTTCTATCACCTTCTTAAAAGAAAAAAAGATCACACTAAGTAAAATCAGCTTCACCACTTTTGTTCCTTAAAACTAAAAGAAGATGAAAATGACCAATAGCCAATAAGCCCCACACTTTAGGGTTATTTCCCACCTATGTTACAATAAGAACTGAACCAGTCAATTATGCCATCATACAAGACATATCAACAAAAGAAAGAGATGTTATATTTCATATACAAAATAAATCTCAAAACAATTAAGTTTTACATAGAAACATAGTCTTCATATCCATACTTATTTTAAATATACAAAATATTATTGGGTTACTATAGTTTGTGCATAAAATTTCACAGATTTACATGAAAATGATTTTAATATGAAGCTAATGTGTATTTATCTATTATTATTTTTTCATTTTAAATACACACTTCTTTAAAACAAAGATTTTCAAACTGCCAAGAAACATCACGCATTTCAGAAATATTTCTAAGAAACTATAAAGGTATTAGACAGGAATTCAAAAGCAAAATGAGAATGAGAGAATGAGAAAAAATATAAAGCAAAATAGGAGAGAGGAAATTTAATAAAAACAGTTCTAAGAATATGGTTTTCTCTATGCAAAGCAGTTGCAAGTCAAAATATGACAAGGTTCTAAACAACTAATAACACAAAATAAGTCAGAAAATACAAGGTACCTACAAACAGAAAAGGTTACCTGTATGTCAGTATAGGTTTAAACCAGCTTTCTCAACCTTGACACTAATGACATTCGAGGCCAGAAATTCTTAGTTGTGGGGACCAGACTGAGCCTATGCTACATGTCAGTTTTAGCCCTCTGAAGTCTGTAGACAATGGCAAATGTCCCCTGGAGGACAAAATTCATCCTGATTGGGAACCACTGGTCTAAATGAAGGAAATTAATTTCTCAAAGCTCAAGTAAAAATCTTCTATTTGAAAAATGAAAGACTACAGTTCTCTTTGCTTTACAGAGTGCCTGGTACATAATAATGCACTCAGTAAATGCATGTGTGTGTGCTCAGTCGTGTCTGACTCTTTGAGACCCCATGGCTGCAGTCTGCCAGGCTCCGGTGTCCATGGAATTTTCTAGACAAGAGTACTAGAATGGGTAGCCATTTCTTCCTTCACAGGATCACCCCAAGCCCAGGATCAAACCCACGTGCCCTGCGTCTCCTGCACTGGCATATGTATTCCTTACCACAGAGCCACCCGGGAAGCCCTTACTCAATAAATGTGCATTGTCAAATTGAATTTCACTTTTAAAACTGATTACATTAAGTATTTAATGACTCTTTCAAGGCCTGGAAAGCTTCAGGCCAATCCTAGTCCAAACTGCTATGTATTACAAAGTAAAGCAGAATAATAAAATTAACTAAATATTTAATTCTTATATATTCAATGACAAGCTACCACGCACTCCCCCTGAAAAAAGGCAGAGCCACTCAAGACAACAAATAGCATTTATGAAGGCCAGACTAGGTTTTCCATGGAAATGCTTCCTCCCACCCATCTTTCATTTTCAGCATGAACAATTTCAAATTTATTTACTCAATGAACAATACTGTGAATGTCTATTACATGCTAGCACTGAGATAGATTCTGAAGGTATAAAAGACAGAGAGACAAAAATAACTTCCTTCAAATAATAACAAAAAAAGTAAAAAAATAGTTGTAAAAATCAAACAAATAGTTACACAACTATACAAAAACTATATAAAGAGGTTGCTAAGAGAGGAGAATCTAAGGCTATCTCCCCAAGAGTTTTAGAGAAGAGTAGAAAGAAATGCCAAACTAAGTTTTGTTTTTTGTTTTTGTCTTTCTTGGGGTGGGGGTAGGGGAGTGGAGAGCATGCTAAAATTCTACACTATAAACTTTCTTCAGATGTATCTATGATGGTTCTTAAATTCAACATATATCTATTACTGCAAAGTCTTGGCAAAGAGAAGTTTCAATTATACCCAATATCTGTATTTACACTTTGATAGTTATATGAACAAATATTTTCTCAAGATCAAATACATTTAAATCATTTTAAACTTGTTTTCAAAATGTGTGAGCACAAATGAACTGAGCACACATGAAAGATGATATTCTATAATGCTCAGCAATACATTAACCATTTAATGTTTAAAAACAAGAGGAAACATTGGGCTGGCCAAAACACTGCTTTGGGTCTTTCTGTAAACTCTTATGGAAGAACCTTACAGGCTTTTTGTTGTTGTTGTTTAGTTGCTCAGTCATGTCCAACTCTGTGCCAACCCATGGACTGTAGCCTACCAGGCTCCTCTGTCCATGGGATTACCCAAGCAAGAATACTATAGGGGGATGCCATTTCCTCCTCCAGGGGATCTTCCTGACCTAGGGATCGAACCCACGTCTCCACATCTCCTGCACTGGAGACAGATTCTCAACTAGCAAGCCAGTGGCAAAGCCCCGTATGAACTTTTTGGCCAATACAATAATACATTAAAAAGCAATCTACAACAATAATATATAAAACTGAATTCTCCATTAAAAATATATCCTCAAAACTTTTCTGCAAATATCAACATTTTAACTATTTTGTTAAATATTTACATAGAAAATTAATTTTATTTTGGCTATTTTCCCAGTCGTTAAGAACACAGCAATATTACCACATTTTTTGTAGTTACCCATCATCTCTGATAGGAGACCATTTTATTCTTTTAACTTGTGCCTCCTCTACTGGTTTAAAAGTAGAACACCACAAAATCAAGCTTTGAATTCCACTGGTCAAAGAGCAACTAAACAAGTTTGTTACTTTTTATGCCTATTAGTGTTTTCCAGAATTTATTTTTATCAAATTAATGTCAGATTTTGGATTCTAGAGAACATAAATCTCAGCCACATTCTTTTTTAATCTTAAAATATTTCTTTCCTCTAAAGATCTTAAGTATACTTTAATGAGAGCATTATCACATTTGTGTTATAACTGAATTTTTTTTTTATAAACAGAAGATATCCATTATTATACTAATCAATATAGCAGACTTACAATGCTGTGTATCTGTCCATTGCAGACTGCACGTCTCTACGGTAAACTGTTCGAAGAATGACCATGACGGGGTCAAATTCGTGATCCCAGACTTCAGCTATCATTCAAAAGAGAGTAGAAACAAAACACTGATGACTTCTTAGGAATCAAGTCAATCGCTAAGGACTAACTGTGCGTGCATGTTCAGTCGCTCAGTCGTATCTGACTTTTCTGCAGTCCCATGGACTGTAGCCTGCCAGGATCCTTTGTCCATGGAATTGTCCAGGCAAGAATACTGGAGTGGATTGCCATTTCCTCCTCCAGGGGATCTTCCCAGAAATCGAACCCAGGTCTCCTGCGTCTCCTGCACTGGCAGGTGATTCTTTACCACTGTGACTCTAATGACTAATTACACTTCAGTATATCTTAAATTTAAAACATGGTAAAGTTTAATTTGACTGAACTTCCCTGGTGTCTCTGTCTGACAACGCAGGAGACGCAGGTTCAATCCCTGGGTTGAGAAGAGCTCTTGCAGAAGGAAACTGCAACCCACTCCAGTATTCTTGCCTTGGAAATCCCATGAACAGAGGAGTTTGGCAGGCTACAGTTCATGGGATCACAATGGAGTAGGACACAATTTAGCAACCAAACAACAACTTTAGGAGCAAGGAAACGGTAAAACAGATGAGAAGCTATGTCCACTACCCACACTCATTTTAACAAGAGTAGGTCTGCTTTTATTGCTTTTGTATAATAAATTCATTTAAGGCTTAATTCCCCAAAACTAAAAATTTAAACACTCTTTAAAGAGAAGGTTAAAAACAACACATCCATTCCAACTCTTATTTTACAAAGAAGTCAAATGCAAAGATAAAAAACTGACTTTCTCAACATTGCACAACTAGCTGATACAATTCAGTCCTATATGTGAATATGACACTCAATTTCTTGATTCTAATCTTCAAATATCCAGTGCTCTGCCTCGGTGTCTCAAAATTTACTCTGTGTGACAATCATCCTATAGAGATTGGTTAAAAAAAAGCAGATTTCCAGAATCTATCCCCAGAAATCTAGATGAGAGCAGATTGGGGTTTAGGCATAGAAAATTATATTTTAATAAGGATGCCAACATGAATAAGTCTGACAAAGGTAATGCTCACATCACATGTTGTTAATAAGCATAGCACTATACAAGAACATCATTCTTCTAAGTTCATCTTACAAAGCATTCTCTACAATGAAGAAATACTGTGCTTTTCCTTTAATGGAATACATTCCAACCAGAGACTCTGGATTGTTCTTGCTACCTTTGTGAACTCTCTGAAAATTCCCACATGATACGGCTTATTCTGGTGCCTTTTATCAAACACAGTACATGTTATTTACAACTTCAAACTGGGCACCATTTTTTCACTTAGACAACAAGTGTCGCAGGTCAGAGGTGCAAGAAACCTATAACCTCTACTTTCTTCAAAATTTTAAGTTAATGAATATGTGAAAGTGAAGAAGAAAAGATCATGGATCAAAATTTCACCTACTTCTGGCTTTTGTCAAGCATGTCTCTACAAATCCAGGGGGTAAACCTTAGAAAACCAATCATTTAAGGAAAAGGTTTCTATGTATTTACAAAGGTTCAAAACATATGAGAACATTATCAGTATTCCATATAGATTTTTAACTGTTTCAAGTTAAACTTAGGCTAGTGACAACTATTTCAAAATCAGATTTAAAGGGCAAATACACTCAGAGTGTTTTTAAGTATATATTTTAAGTTATTCAAGTTCATTCACTTACAAACATAAACTGGTGTTCATATATAAAGTTCCTTTTATAATTTAGACTCATCTCAGAAGTCTTACTATGACATAAACCACAGATTTTTAAATAAAAGGAACCAATATCATGGTATACTAAAAAAGACAAACATACATGTATAAGAAAGTTGAGGGGGAAAGCCAAAGCTAAGGAAATAAAAGGCAAACATTTTGTTTCGGTATACACAACAAACCTTCAAAAAACCTGATATTTGACAAAATACATTCATAGATATAAACGTACCTTTAGGAGTATACATGCCTTGTTGCATAGAACCTCCAGGTTCAAAAACAGGAGCCTTAAAATCAGCTACCGCTGATAAAACTGATTCAAAGCTATAACTTCCTGGAATAATACCACTTTTAGGATTTGGATTTTCTGGAATATGATGCATGTGTCAAGAAAAAAAATTAATAACTAAAAGTCAGACTTATAATCTTAATAAGGTATTCTAGTTTCCAAATTTCTTTGCTAAAATATTCTTGTCTCGAGAACCCCATGAACACTATGAAAAGGCAAAAAGACAGGACACTGAAAGATGAACACCCCAGGTCAGTAGGTGCCGAATATGCTACTGGAGATCAGTGGGGAAATAACTCCAGAAAGAATGAAGAGACGGAGCCAAAGCAAAAACAACGCTCAACTGTGGATGTGACTGGTGATGGAAGTAAAGTCCGATGCTGTAAAGAACAGTATTGCCTAGGAACCTGGAATGCTAGGTCCACGAATCAAGGTAAATTGCAAGTGGTCAAACAGGAGATGGCAAGAGTGAACATCAACATCTCAGGAATCAATGAACTTAAAAGGACTGGAATGGGCGAATTTAACTCAGATGACCATTGTAAGACTCCCTTAGAAGAAATGGAGTAGCCCTCATAGTCAACAAAAGAGTCTGTAATGAAGTATTTGGGTGCAATCTCAAAAATGACAGATGACCTCTGTTTGTTTCCAAGGCAAACCATTCAATATCGCGGTAATCCAAGTCTACGCCCCAACCAGTAATGCTGAAGAAGCTGAACAGTTCTAAAAAAGACCTACAAGACCTTCTGGAACTAACACCCAAAAAAGATGTCCTTTTCATCACAGGGGACTCGGGATGCAAAAGTAGGAAGTCAAGAGATACCTGGAGTAACAGGCAAATTTGGCCTTGGAGTACAAATTGAAGCAGGGCAAAGGCTAATAGAGTTCTGCCAAGAGAACGCACTGGTCACAGCAAACACCCTCTTCCTACAACACAAGAGAAGACTCTACACAAGGACATCACCAGATGGTCAATACCAAAATCAGATTGACTATATTCTTTGCAGCCAAAGATGGAGAAGTTCTATAAAGCCAGCAAAAACAAGACCTGGAGCTGACTGTGGCTCAGATCATGAACCCCTTATTGCCAAATTCAGACTTAAACTGAAGAAAGAGGGGGAAACCACTAGACCAATCAGGTATGACCTAAATCAAATCCCTTATGATTATACAGTGGAAGTGACAAACAGATTCAAGGAATCAGACCTGATAGAATACCTGAAGACCTATGGATGGAGGTTCGTGACACTGTACAGGAGGCAGTGATCAAGTCCATCCCCAAGAAAAAGAAATGCAAAAAGGCAAAATGGTTGTCTGACGAGGCATTACCAATAGCTGAGAAAAGAAGAGAAGCTAAAGGCAAAGGAGAAAAGGAAAGATATATCCATTAGAATGCAGAGTTCCAAACAATAGCAAGGAGAGATAACAAAGCCTTCCTCATTGATCAATGCAAAGATATAGAGGAAAACAACAGAATGGGAAAGACTAGAGATCTCTTCAAGAACCTTAGATATACCAAGGGAACTTTTCATGCAAAGATGGAATCAATAAAGGACAGAAATGGTATGGACCTAACAGGAGCAGAAGATATTAAGAGGTGGCAAGAATATACAGAAGAACTATACAAAAGAGATGTTCATGACCCAGATAACCATGATGGTATGATCACTGGACTAGGACCAGACATCCTGGAAAGCAAAGTCAAGTGGGCCTTAGGAAGCATCACTACGAACAAAGCTAGTGGAGGTGATGGAATTCCAGTTGAGCTATTTCAAATCCTAAATGATGATGCTGTGAAAGTGTTGAAGTCAATATGCCAGCAAATTTGGAAAACTCAGCAGTGGCCACAGGACTGGAACAGGTCAGTTTTCTTTCCAACCAACCCCAAAGAAAGGCAATGCCAAAGAATGTTCAAACTACCACACAACTGCATTCATCTCACATGCTAGCCAAGTAATGCTCAAAATTCTCCAAGCCAGGCTTCAACAGTATGTGAACAATGAACTTCCAAAATGGTCAAGCCGGATTTAGAAAAGGCAGAGGAACCAGAGATCAAATTGCCAACATCCTTTGGATCATCAAAAAACCAAGAGAGTTCCAGAAAAACATCTACTTCTGTTTTACTGACTACACCAAAGCCTTTGACTGTGTGGATCACAATAAACGGTGGAAAGTACTTAAAGAGATGGGAATACCAGACCACATTACCTGCCTCCTGAAAAATCTGTATGCAGGTAAAGAAGCAACAGTCAGAACAGTACATGGAACAACAGACTGTTTCCAAATAGGGAAAGGAGTATGTCGAGGCTGTATACTGTCACCCTGCTTATTTAACTTATATGCAGAGTACCTCATGCGAAATGTCAGGCTGGACGAAGCACAAGCTGGAATCAAGGTTGGTGGGAGAAATTTCAATAACCTCAGATATGCAGATGCCACCATCCTTATGGCACAAAGCAAAGAAGAACTGAAGAGCCTCTTGATGAAAGTGAAACAGGAGAGTGAAAAAGTTGGCTTAAAATTCAACATTCAGAAAAGTAAGATCATGGCATCTGATCCCATCACATCATGGCAAACAGATAGGAAAATAATGGAAACCATGACAGACTTTATTTTTTGGGGCTCTGAAAGGACTGCAGATGGTGACTGCAGCCATGAAATTAAAAGACGCTTACTCCTTGGAAGGAAAGCTATGACCAACCTAGACAGCATATTAAAAAACAGAGACATTACTTTGCCAACAAAGGTTCATCTAGTCAAAGATATGGTTTTCACAGTAGTCATGTATGGATATGAGAGTTGGACCATAAACAAAGCTGAGCGCCGAAAAATTGATGCTTTTGAACTGTGGTGTTGGAGACGACTCTTGAGAGTCCCTTGGACTGCCAGGAGATCGAAAAAGTCAATCCTAAAGAAAATTAGTCCTGAATATTCACTGGAAGAACTGATGCTGAAGCTGAAGCTCCAATACTTTGGCCACCTGATGCGAAGAACTGACTCACTGGAAAAGACCCTGATGCCAGCAAAGATGGAAGGCAGGAGGAGAAGGAAATAACAGAGGATGAGATGGTTGAATGGCATCACCAACTCAATGGACATGAGCTTGAGCAAGCTCCATGAGTTGGTGATGGACAGGGAAGACTGGTGTGCTGCAGTCCATCGGGTCGCAAAGAGTCTGACATGACGAGACTGAACTGAACTGAAATGAATCAGCTGTAATATATAAAGCTGGCCACAAGAGGGCTACATAATACAACAGTTCAATAATAACTTTTTATTAATTGTGAATTTTTAAAATAGCTTAATGCAGATTAATTTTTAAAACAGCTTATTTCTAAGACAGCTTAATTAATACCCTACTAATAAATTATATGCTGAAGTAGTTCTGATGTATATTTCCCCCAAAACAAATGAATACAGTTTCAGGAAATGAAAAAAAAACCTTTTAAAATTAATCTCCATTTTCATCAGCTTGCAAACAATGTTATATACTTTGTCTTAGAAAATCAAAGACAATATACTAAATATCAGCCCAGATTTTTTTTTCAGCCCAGATTTTTAAGAGCAAAGATTGTTTCATAAAAGACACAAAATATTCTCCTCAAAATAATGAAAAGATACTAAGCAAATTTTTCAAAAAGAAGAAAACCAGAAAACCCTAGATTCTTTCCTATTGGTTTCACATTAAAGCTATATAATTTTTTCTAAATTCAAAGTTACGGATAATTCTTCTGCTCTTTTACAGCACTGATACACAGTACATAATGGCTGAATGAAATCATCAAACAGTATCAAGTTGTTGTCTGCTTAAGAAAATCTTCAAGGTTATCAAATAGACTTTCTAATAGGAGCCAGTTCATAAAATTTTAGTCAATTATTTCAAACAAAATCATAATGTACAAAATAAATTTAGTCAAAAATTCATAAAGCAAATTTTACCACTAAATAATATGATAATCTTTGTCTAAAACTTTATTAACAATACCTAAAAAAAATAATAAAGTGTCCACTGAATCCTCAGTCCTATAGCGAGAACCTTAAGTTTTTAAAGTTTGTAGACAATAGTCTTTGCCCTTCAAAGTCTCTTGGTTTAAAACTGAATTCTCAGAAAAAAATACTCAGAATGTTTAAAACTGATAATTATAAGACATAACTCTAAATTTTAATGATGAATTCCAGCCTGGTTATACAAATACAGTAGACCTAGCTGCCTTTCACCAAATGTCCAGTTCCCTTTTACTACTGCTGTCCTAGAAGGTCAGATTCCGGAGTGCCCAGAGCAAACAGTTCTGATGCTTAAACAAGGTCTAACAAGAGCACTCAGAGGTGACGATTAGAGGCAAATCTGCCACTGGTCTTGAACACAGAATTGATTAAAAAATCGGGAGTTTTTTTCCATATTATTTTCCAATCTCAAAAAAAAAAGTTTTAATCAGAAAGTGATATATCTTTAATCCAAAAATATTACTTGCAATTTAGATCCTACAACTAAAAGAAAATTAAACTGTTAAAAGGATATGAGGTCCAGCAATGAACTATGTGTTCTGTCATTCATACACAGCTGGGCTACCATCTCTGCTCTGAGAATCTCATCATCGGACATTCCTAAAATTAAAAATAGAATTAATATATCTGAATATTTATATATTATAAAGAAACAACTTACCACACAATTAAGTTATTTTACCAAAAATGAGATGCTTCAAAAATCATAGGGCAAAGAAAACAAGGTCCCAATATAACTGTAGTTTACCCTGCTATTTTCAGTCCCTTAAGTAAGGGTTCAAAGAATATTCTAAAAGGAGTACTAATGGTAAAACATATCGTGTCAAGAGTTTGAAATGCATCCTTTCCTTTTTTTTAATAAACCAGTTACTACCACAGGGTAAGGGGAGGAAAGGGAGGTACCCAAGTATTTGTATTAGTGCTTTTTACCTAAATGTAAACGAAGACTCAAAAGAATCACAAGAAATGTAAGAGCGCCTTCTAACATGGATCTCTCATGCTCTGCATCAAGTACTGTGTTTTGATGTTGTGAAGCCATTGTCAACAAATCCACTACCTTAAATCTATTAAAAAAATATTTGAGACAGATGTTTTTAAAGTTAAGACAAAATTAACTTAAATTCCAAATACTTCCTAATACCTGTATTAATAAAACTATGCTTACCTTTCAAAGACAGATGAAATAAAATAATCTGGATCAAGTCTAGATGCACAAACCTTTAAAAGATCAATAAATAAATAAATAAAAATAAAACCCACAAAGTTTATTTCTCAGTAGTCAGTATTTATTTATTCAGTATTCTTTTTCTTTTTTTCTTCCTTTTTTCCCCCTCTGGGTATGCCACATGGCTTGCAGGATCTTAGTTCCCCAACTAGGGACTGAACCTGGGGCCTTGATAGTGAAAGCACTGAGTCCTAAGTACTGGACCACGAGGGAATTCCCTGGTTTTATTTCTTATGTTTATCATTCCTCATATTTTCTGTATCATATTTGTTCAAACAGCTTACCTGGAAGCAAGTCTTTTATATGCCAGTCACTCTTGCCCTTTATTTAACTCACAGACCAAGCTAATATACCCCCAGGCCCCTTAGCCAGGGCAGGTACCAGATAGCTGGGGATAGCCTTCATGCCCCAAAGTTCACCAAGATGATTCAAACTAGCCAGTGCTAAACTACTTCCCCAGCCCTGCCTTGCCTTTCCTATGGAAACCCCAATAAAGCTTCTGATCTAGGATTTCCCCTCATTCCTTCTGCCTCCTGACAAAAATCTTTGGTCCTGCGTGGCATGGCATGCCCCTCTTCCTTTGAAAAATGTAAGTAATAAAATTCTTCTTTCAATAGCACTGACCTCTCTGTGTCCTCATTTAGTCACCTCTATAAATTAAAATCCCACAGGTACAAATGAGATACTTCTGAAGTTCAACATCTGCATCACTAAGTTGGCTTACCTGTAACAGGTAAATGTCAGGATCAATCATGGAATTACAGAAATGAGACTGGACATAGGTCATGGCTTGTCCTTTGATCTGCAGACCATTTCTTACCCACATATTGCTGTGTATTTCAGCAAGACTTGCCTAGTAAAACAAAAATTAATTGAACAAAGAAGTCATCTAAAGTCAACCTTTATAAAATCATGTTATGATAAACAATCACTTCAAAATATTTTACAGCTTAATCATAGCATAAGCCTGATATTCTGCCCAGTACTTAGGATATTCAATTCAAATATATAATTTTAAAATAATCAGTATATTTTATACACTCCTTCTTTTGGAGCTTATATAAGAGTTAAGTTTCTACGATGACTACTGGGTACATTTATAATAACATTCACTGAAACCGTAAATGAGGTCTCCTGCATTGCAGACAGATCCTTTACCGTCTAAGCCACCAGTGGCTCCAGCCAGCCCAAGCCCAAGTACATACCTGGATTTGGAGTGGGTGAATCATTAGTTTCATTAACATTTCCTGATCTGGCAAAACAGAATCCAAATCTAGTTCTTGACATTTCACAGCCTAGAAATTGTTATAAAAAAAGTTACTAACTCAATACATATTTCCCAATGTTCATAAAACAGATGAACAGAGTATTTAATGAAAACTTTTACCTTACTCAAAAACATAGCATAATAACGATGTAGTGGCAGATGAAAAGTGACTTGGTTGGGTGCTGGCTGGAAAGGAAGAAAATCCAGAAGTTAAATAATACTTTACCGAATTCAAAGAAGGTTTTAAAATGCTAAAACAACACTTCCACCTTGATTAACTGGCCTACACTTTTTTTTATCAAAAAGTAAGATTTTAGAAGTTATAGTTTAAAAACCCACTGTAGAAAAAATTATTCCGATTTAAAGAACCAAATGCAAGTTCCTTAAAGGCACAGAGTATATACTCAACTTTTAATCCTCTGACACATCTTGTACAGAACAAGGGATGGAAGACATTTCCCTTTACAGTCAGCCATTTCAGAATCTTCAAATGCATGCACAACAAATGTGATGATAATAACAAAAACAATAATCACAGCTAACATTCACTGAGCACTTCCTATGTGCCGGTCACTGTGCTGATAAGCAGTTTATTCCTATTTAATTTAATCCTAGGAGAACCCTTTGGGGTAGAAACTCAATGTTCCAATTTTATGAATAGGGAAGTTCAATTTTAAAAAACTTAAGTAACTTCCTAAAGCTAACAGATAGTGAACTGAGAAGCTAGTCTGCTATATTCAGAATGATCTGAGGGTCTGACTACAGCCCTATCCTGAAGTGCAGTTAATGGGCTTACCTAGCTGGATGAGATGCTCCCCGTATCAGTGGTGAACACACAGTCTCTATAGGAAAGCTTAGTACAGTACAAGTCAAAGATCTTTGATATCTTGTGGATATTACAAAAAGTGTATTTTAAATCTGTGACTCCCATGGGCCACACTATTGCTAAAGGGCAAACACAAATAGTTGTCTTTCTTAAACAAACCAGAAAAATGAAACATTAAAAGGTATCATTTGTTTTTAATGCTTCTATAAATCATTAGTAAAGTTTTCTCCTGTTGAAAAAAATCTAGCCAAAACATTCTCATAATATGCTAATATAGTATCATATTGAGTCATAAAGATTTGAAATATGTCACCATCCCTGAAAGAGTTTTTTCCAAAACCAGTATGAGAATAAGATTCTCCTTAACATGTGAATAAACATCTATAGAAAGTTGTTCTGATAAATGTTTGCGCTTCCAGAAAAAGGAAGGAATTCCTGACACATGCTGCAATGTGGATGAACCTTCGAGACATTATGCTAAGTGAAATAAACCAGCCATAAAAATACATATACTGTATGATTTCACTTAGGTATGCTGAGCAGTCAATATCATAGAGACACAAAGTATAATGATGGCTGCCAGAGCCTAGGGGTAAGGGAAAATGAGATTATTGGTTTTTTTGGGAACAGAGTTTCAGTTTTACTAAACAAAGTTCTGGAGGTTGGTTGCACCAACAATGTGAATAACTGCATACTTTAAAAAAGGTTTAAAAGGTGGTAAATTTTATGTGCATTTCACCATAATCGAAAATAAAAATCAAACAAGTTTGCTCTATGTTACTATCATCATTTGAGTAACACAACATATACTAACTAGCTAAATCAGAATCTTCTTCAATTTCCTTTGAAGGCATCAAAAACAGTGGTGAAGAGCAGACTCTTAAAAGCTGGGTTTGCATGCATTCAAATCCTGACTCTACCACCTATAGCTATAAAACAGAGCAAGTTACTTCTCTGTGCCTAAGCTGCCTCATCCATAAAGTGAAGATAATAAGCAGATAGACAACTGTGAGGATCAAGTAAAAGAACACAGTACCCAACACACATTTCTATTAATTGCTAAGCCATAGGCTCTATCTTGTCTTTTAAGGCTTGAGCATATGCTAAACATACATTGTTCTGCAGTTTTACATTCCATAATCTCCGTTTGTCCAATGTCACAAATAAGCTACCTGAAAAACTCTTTTATCACTTCTTCCAAATATACTGAGGTGTTCCTCAGATTCCATTCTCAACTTTCTACTCTTCTCATTTGAGACACTTTATTCAGTTGATAAAGCTGACAGCTTCAGCTGCCAACACAAGATGACTACTAAATCTCAGCAGAAATCTCACTCCTGAACTCCAAAACCTACATTCAAGTATCTGCTGAACATCAACACTTAATTAACATCCCATGGGGACCACAAATACACTGCGTTCAGATAAAACTCAGCACCTTTGCCCTAAAACTCAATTTTTCTCAATGTTTCTTCTGCAAATTCCCAGTAATACAAATCTGAAATGTAGCCTCTTTCCTTCTCTCAAATCTCCTCCACTTGATAAGGCATCAAAGTGTGTTTGATTTTCTAAGTACCTCTTAACTCTACTTTTTCCTCTCTTTTCATATTGCCTCTAACCAACCTTAGCTCAGGCTCTCAACATTTAGTGCCCAGATTTCAGTGCTAGCCTTTGCTTCTATTCTTACCCTCTATAAGAAACTTTTTGTGGTATCTGCCTAGCTCACAACCCTCCCTTTTCTTCTCAGAATGTCCCTTCCTCCCCACTTTCTAAATACATACACGCAGGAATTGGAGCCTGCCAGTCAAGTTTAGAGTAGTCACATCTGATTAGATCAGGGCAGGGAATCCTTATCCTATCATGGGCAATGAGGTTCTCTCTCACTTGAAAACTGAACTGGGATTTAAAGACTGTGGAGATTCTTGGACTATGGCTGAAACTGCAATATAAGGCAATTATAAGAAGATAATGTTTTAAAAAGGCAAAAAAAAAAAAGCACAGAAAAACCAATCTACAGAAAGGGAAGAAAAGACTGAGGCAGAAAGAGCAAGGAAAAGCAAGAGACAAGAGCTCCTGTTCAGCTTTCCACTCAGCTCCTGAAGTCCAGAATGCCATAAGATCCCTGAACGATCTCTCTGTACTCATAATAAAGTATCCCTCCTTTAAATCAGGCTGCCTCAAAAGTATTTTAAAAAGAAGCTTAATTAATACATCTACTTAAATCTGTTTTTAAATGCATATTAAATCTTCATACTGCCAGGTGGTAGTCTTACTGAAACATTACTTTAACCTTGTACTTCTCCATTTATCACCTTTTAACGGCCCCCTATAGTTTTAACCTCCTTTAACTGTCCAACTCTTGAGAGACAGGACTCTCTGGCTTTATCTATTGTTATATAAGCTCATACACCATAAGTAGTGCCTTTGTATATGCTTTTCCCTTTGACTCAAATGCTATATAAACTTGCTGCCACTGGATTAACACACCATAAGACTTTGCTGAAACGACCTTCCGACTGGGGAGTTTTTCCTGAGGCCCTCAGGGTAATGATGCTCCACTCTATCCCCCCTATAGCACCCTGGTCACAATTTTATACAGAAGCATTCTGATCAAATTAGCCATTTACTTGTCTTCCATTTCCTCAAATTAGGAACCATTTCATCACTGTATCTGCAGTGTTTAGAACATAGTAAACATTCAATAAATATTTGCTGGGTGAACACAAGTTCTACTTTCCTCTTAGGAGAGAAGACTCTAACTACTCTGCTGTTGCTCTGCTATACACTCAGAAATGATACTTAGAATTTCAGGATTCTTAAATGGCCTACACTTGTGGAAAAATTTATCCCATCCTGTGTTCTAAGTGATTGTTTGTCTTAATTCAGCTCAAAGATTATTATTTACTTCATCTGTGCTGGATTACTGACATACCTTCTGACCTCCACTCTCAGGCTGACAGAACAAATATTTATCACATATGAAATATACGCCTCTTAGTCAATCCTCACTGGCTAACAGTATTATCTTAGAGAGACTCGGTAATGCTTTAAAACAAGCAAAAACACTGTCAAGACAACGCTGTGTCTACAGCTACTTGATTTGTGGCAGAGCAGCAATTTTTACTCAGGTATGCCTAACTCTAAAGCTCTTTCCATTGCCAACAGCTAGTATGGCTGGAATACTACCAGACAAGCAGCTGAGAGATGTAGGCTCTGGACCCAGAATTATTAGGAGTTTGCCATAAAACTACAGGCAAGTCATTTAGTATCTCTGTATCTCCATTTTACATCTATAAAAAAGGAAAGGATAATAGTATCTTCCCTACTTAACCAGGGCTGTTTTCAGAAACAAATATGTCAAAGCACTTTAAGAAACAAGAAACTTTTAAACATCATAAAAGACATATTGTTTGATTATCAAATTCTATTTAATCTTTTATTCTTTTTTCTTTAATTCTTTATTTAATTCTTCTCAGTTTATTATCAATAACAATTACTTTTATTCATGCCCACAGAACACTGACCAATTAATAAAGTTGTGGTAACTTTTCCATCAATCTCCTCTAATTTGCACTGTCACTTTTTCCTCCCTGAAAGAAACTGATATTCACTCCTGAGAAATATACATTTAATAACATAAAAAATATATCCTCCTCTAGGAGATAAGCAAATACAGTTAATGTACTGTAGAATCTCCTAAATAACAAACAATTGGTTTCTTACTTCCTCCTTTTTTAAAGCCTAATGATTTTATGCTTATTCTGAAATCTTTCCCTTATCCCATGAAAAGACATTCATTATTTTCAAGGTTAAATGAGATCTAACACTTCTTTTCTTAAATGCTTCTACATATATCAAAAATATACATACCTCATCTACGAAGTTAATAGCATCAAACCAGTCTTGAAGAGCTTCAAGGCAATATCTAACAACATTTCGGGTATATTCTTGAGTTTCCTAAAATAATAAGCTTTATAAATTTATAGTATATAAATATATATATGCTCAACTTCAAAGTATATGCAATGTATAAAGATAGTTATATGTATTATATATATATGTAAAATAATAAAATATACATATTTTCAAAGTAACCACATTTGCCATTTCAAGAAATCATTTCACAAATAGTAACAATTAGTGATAGTCATAAAAATTAAAGAATACAATATATCACCCTCTATATAATTTATTCCTGAAAATGAATCAAAGCTGAAATAAATTTATGTGATGTAAATTGGATTCCATTTCAAGAGATTCTAAAAATGTAAGTTCCCTACTGTTATTATTGGGTAGACTTGCTTTTGGAATGATAAAAATAAAAGTTCCAGAAACGGATGGTTGCACAACATTGAGAATGTATGTATTTAATGTCACTGAAATGCATACCTAAAAATGGGTTACAGCAGTAAAAAAAGAAAAATTATGTTATGCATATTTTGCCACAATAAAAAAAAAGAGGCCAGAATGTATGAGTACTATAAACAGGCTGTGAATATCTTAGCTTGCAAATGACTATGTTCCCCTTAAAATAAGGGTACCATGAAAGAATATTGTGGGCTTCCCGGGTGGCGCTAGTGGTAAAGAACCTGCCTTCCAGTGCAGGAAATGAAAAGAGACTCAAGTTCTACCCTGGGTTGGAAAATCCCTTGGGGGAGGTCATGGCAACCCACTCCAGTATTCTTCCCTAGAGAATCCCTTGGACAAAGGAGCCTGGCAGGCTACAGTTCTTAGGGTCGCAAAGAGTCGGACATGACTGAAGTGACTTAGCACACACACACGAAAGAATATTGTAATGTTTTATGGAGAAACTGATTCAGGGAAATGGGAAAGTATTAAGTTACATGGAAAAATAAATCATGATAGCCTCTCTTTAAAAAATTAGGCAAAGGATTTGAAAAGACATTTCTCCAAAGAGGATCTACAAATGACGAATAAGCACAAGAAAAGATGCCAACACTATCAATCATTAGGAAAATGCAAATCAAAGTCACAATGAGATACTACTTTATACATACTTGGATGGTTATAAATTTTAAAATATAAAATAAGTGTTGGCAAGAATATAGAGAAACAAACTCTCATACATAGCTGGTAGAAATATAAAATGGTGCAGCCGTTTTTAAATTAAACACAGAGTTACCATGAAAGTGAAAATGAAAGGTGCTCAGTCGTGTCCAACTCTTTGAGACCCCATGGACTATATGGTCCATGGAATTCTCCAGGTCAGAATACTGGAGTAGGGAGCCGTTCCCTTCTCCAGCACATCTTCCCAACCCAGGGATAGAACCCAGATCTCTCACACTGCAGGTGGATTCTTTACCAGCTGAGCCACCAAGGAAGACCACAGACTTACACATGACCACGCAATTCTACTCTCATAGACCCAAGAGAGCTGAAAACATACACTCACACAAAAGCCTATACAAATGTTCACAGCAGCATTACCCACAGCAGCCAAAAACTGAAATCAACCCAGGAACAGACAAATAAGTGCAATATACCTATGCTATGGAATACTATTTAGGAAATTAGTGGCTTCCAGAGAATGAGACGAGGTTGGAATTGAGAGGTTGAGTTTTCTTTTTTGGCAGGGGGTATGGGCACAGTGTTAAAAATGTTCTGGAATCAGTGGTGATAGCAGCACAACTTTGTGAATATACTATAAACTACTTAATTGTATAGTTTAAAAAGAAAAGATTAAAATGGTGAATTTCATGTTATGTGAATTTTATCTCAATAAAAAGTTTTTTAGAAAAACACTTTGGGGCCTCAATGCCAACAAAAGGTAAGATCCCTGTCAAACAGGTTACTGTTAGGAAGAAGCAAATGAAAACAATGCACATACAATGCTCTATGTCACACTCTAGCATGATATCTGACAAGTGCTAGTTAAGTGCTCCAGAGTCATGGCCAGAATCAACTTGTGTCTAGCTTGCAGTAATCTAAAGCTTGCCACTAGATGTAAATTTCACAGCTTATTCGTTCCCATTTAGAAAGCAAAAATTAGTGACACTCTAGAAATGTACCATCCCTTTATCCAAGCTATCCATTATTAATCAAGTACAACTTGTTCAATGATCCCTTAGCATTTTTAAGAACCAAATAGCATACAATGCAATCATACAAAGAAAGTAAGCTATCAGGTGAAGTTCCCTTTTTTATTGCTAATCCTTTAGTTTTACATTTTATAATTAAAAAACATAAAGAAACAGCTTTTTAAAAATAATATTCTTTTTTTCTAGTTTACATTTCTAAAATCTGACAACACTGCTGTTAAAAAACTCTAGACATTCCTATTTAAGAGACAATTACAGCAAAGTGATAAAAAGCACTGGTTCTGAAATCAGATGGATTTGTTTTCAAACTCAAGCTTCTACTTGTAGTTGTGTAAATGTGGGTGAGTTGTTCAACCTCTAAAAAAAAAAAAGGGATGATACTATCTACTTTATAAGAAATGGTATGAAGATTAGATAAGAACATGACATAAGGAATATAGCATAAGAACAAAGTCTGGCATAGTATAGGCTCTCAACAAGAGAACATCTTATCTAGGAACCAGATGTCCCTTTAGCTGACAAACTCCTCTCTTAAGTATTACAAGATAACATAAGCTCATTTTTCTGTCTGTCATCTTCACTTCTTAGATTAAGGGACCCCAAATACAATGAAATCCTGGCCTTCAAAAATGGAAAATAACTACTGCCTGAAAACAATGATTTCTCTTCATCACAGAGAGAAACATAGCTTCAGTCTTATAATCCAAATTCATCCTAAACAGTCGTCAGAATAATCCTCCTAAAATACTGATCTTTTCATATCAACATCAGATCAATCCTCCAAAGGCAGCATCTTTTCTGTTGGCTTATATGATGCTGCATTCTTCTGTTTTCTCTCCTCTCCCTTTCTGATATTTAAATGTTAACTTTTTCTTCAAAGTCCATTTCCCTTTTCTCCCAACTTGACTGCATTCCATCCCCTGGCAATAAATGCCATTTTTATTCCCAAGGGTCTAAAATTTATACCCTAGCCCAGACTTCTTTAAGTACAAAACTCATATATCCAACTGTTTATTCACTATTTCCACTTGGATGTTTCAGAGGCATCTCAAACTTAACATATCTAACTCTGAAAACTTTAAACCTGCTTTTCTATTATCTTTTTCACCTCTGTAAAATTATCTCCATATATAGCTACTCAAAAATGTATCTAACTCATCAATAACATACAATCCATCACCAACCCTTTTGGTTCCACCTTCAAAAAACATCTTTAACATTCAAAATGCACCTTTAATATATCTTGAATTTCAAACCTGAAATTCCTAGAATATTACCACAGCATCTTAACTGTCTATTTGCTACTAGTCTTGATATTCCCCATATTCTCCTCAATCCAGTCTTTCCAAACAAACAGAAGGAACTTTTAAATTTAAGTCTGATCACATCAAACCCCTACTTTAAAATATTCACTGGCTTCTCCTTAAAATTAAATCCAAGGCTCATTAACATGATCTATAAGAACCTACATTAATAATCTACTCTCTGCCTATCTCTCCAATTCCATCTCATTCTCTGGCTCCAGCCACAAACTCCTTAAAAAGACCAATCATTCCTTATTGGGGGTAGGTTATTCCATACCATCTCCCCTACTACCAGCCCTATTATTCGTCATATAGCCGGCATCTTCATATTCTTTCTTCAAAAAGGCCTTCCCTGATCCTCAAATCCATCAGTCTCCACACTCATCATTCTCATAGAAATCTGATATTTTCCTGTAGAATATTTACAAACGCTTACAAAACAAGTCTACGTGCTTACTTACTTAATGTCTATCTCCACTATTAGACTGCTCCACAGAGCAAGAACCACATCTATTGATTTGTCTGACACCCAAAACCCAAACATCTAGATAGCATCTGGCATAGAACAGCGTTCAATAGACTTTTTTTTTTAATAAATGAACAAACAAATCTCATATTAGATGACAGGTTTTTTTTAAAATAAATGCTACAATGGAGATTAAAGGAGGTACTATATAAACAGAGACTAGAATCATAAATCTGAAAGAAGTGAAAATGAGCAGATTACACGTCAGCTGAGTCTCTGAATACAACCTTTGAAAAGCTAATACTAATGGCTTTTCACTCCAGTTAGAACTGCTGCCAAGATCCTACTGTATACCACACAAATCAAAAGCTCTAACAGTGACACTTAAGCACATATATTTTTTAAGCTTCCCAGATGATTCTCATGTAAAAGGAGCACTGAACTAAGCAGAAAGAATGAGCACATATGTCAAAACAAAAAAAAAGACTAATTTGAACAAAAGCACTGAAATCAAGAAAGGAACTGCCTGCTGAGGAATAGTAATCAAGCCAGTGAAGGCATGGAGGTAGATGGTGTATAGGAAGGCAAATTATGACAAATACACTGAAGACAAATTGTGGAAGTTCTTAAATGCCTCTACAGGAAATATGGACATTATCCTGTGGACAGAAAGGAATGTGAATGATTTTTAAGCAAAGGAGAAATAAGCACAGAGCTCAGAAGTAACTTAGATATTAGGAAAGACTAGAGTAGGAAGAACCTAGAGGCAGAAAAATCAGTTAAGAAGTTACCTAACAATGCAGATTTTTAAAAATACTGACATAAAGAAGTAAAACAGAGAAAAGAAGTGGTAGAGAGACATTTCTGGACAAAAGAGAGAATTCACGGTATCTGATTATAGTTTGAACACAGCTGGGGAGGTTTCAATATTGGAAAACTGCATCATTTATAACAGCATACATAAAATGACATAAAGGACACAGTATAGACACATGTTTTTAAAAAGCTAGTTAGGAACCTGAGAAAACTCATGTACCTCTAAGGAGAATATCAGAATATTCTGACATTCTATACTGAATAACCAGAGCTGTTGGAAATTTGAACCTGGCTAGCCTGTAACAAAGTTGTGAGTCATCTGCATTAAGAGAAAGCTGGAGTCATGAGAGAAAATAGAAAGCCACTTAAAGAAACACATACATTTAAAGAATATATGTAGAAGAGTCTCATAATAACCCTGTAACAGCAGGCTTTGCTGTCCCATTTCTGTTTTGTTCCTTTTAGGTTTTTAAAAGAAAAAGTCTGAGAAGTTCAAATAGTTTTAAATGAGTTGACCAACTCACCTAAGTTGAAAGAGGCAGAACCAAAAGCACTATACAATCTTTTGCAGTATGCTTACTGGTACAGGCTAACAGGTAGGACTTCATGGGATCCATACAACAAAACCTTAAGTCCTTAGTTTTGTAGGGTCAGGAGATAACATTTTTCTGAACTATCCAAGGATTCTGGAGACCCATAAAACCAATACTTTAAAATGCATAGGTAAATATATGTATTTTTTTAGAAAGACAAAAACATATGCAATTTTAAGTGAGCTGGGCTTCCCTGGTGGCGCAGACGGTAAAGCGTCTGCCTGCAGTGCGGGAGACCCAGGTTCGATCCCTGGGTTGGGAAGATCCCCTGGAGAAGGAAATGGCAACACACTCCAATACTCTTGCCTGGAATATTCCACGGACTGAGGAGTCCGGTAGGCTACAGTCCATGGGGTTGCAAAGAGTCAGGCACGACTGAGAAACTTCACATTTCTTAACCAATTATAAGAATTTATGTTGCTGCTATATACTCTTAGGTTCTTTTCACAAACAAATGGGAATTGTATGAAATGTATATTGATTTTGTTCTTGGAATCTTAAAAGTGTAAACTTTATTGAAGTTTATCCTCATCCCCTGAAAGATAAGAAACATTAGGTAACTAACTGATAATGGATAAAATGAAATAATAAAGATGAATGTGAAGCTACAAAGACTATTTACAATAAGGGAAGGCTAGAAAGATCTGATAATTCATTTATATAAATCAAGTCCAACCTACCTAAGAATAATAATTACTGTCTTAGGTCAACTTTCACAGAGCTGAATTCAAAATTAAACACTACATATTATTACATACAAGTAAACAAGTCAAATGTTTCCACAAATATTTTTCTTAAAATTATTTTAAAGGTAAATACAGAAATTAACAAAAATATTTCCAACATACCCTAACTTTACAGTGTGATAAGAGTCCCCACATTGGCTGTGCACAGGCTTCAAGTTCAGCAGCAAAGGCAGCGTAGTAGGTCTGAGATTCAAACTCCACATGCTCATTTAGTTCTCGCTTATTTAAATTCATACCTTACAAAAATTAAAACAGGTATAAACGATGCCAAATGGAAACAAACACCCATACTCAAAATCAAATAAAATACTTCCTCATACCAAACAGATTTTAATGTTCACAAATGGCATAAATGACAAAATATGTATAGAAATTAATAAATTATTAAAAATAAAATAGTATCTGGTCCTTTCAGAATTCTTTATAAACTAGACTTTCTTAAAAACATTTTGTGAATTATCTCTTTCTTATATAACATAAATGAATATATTAAATAAACTCAAAACTATTTTAATTGGCACTGGTTGAACTTTTTATGAAAATGTTAACAATCTTTCTTACAAGAAAATTTCTAGATTAATGCTTTAAAATGCTTTTTAAAATTACACTCCTATTTCCTATATAATAGTTTGACTTTTTTCATAACTCTGATATGTTTCAAGAGCACTTTATTAAATACTTACAAATATCAATTAAAATGAGACATTTCTCATGTAACTGAATGATGTGCTATTATCTTTTAATTAGTGTCTGATAGTTCACTATTAGTAATTTTGCAAACTAAAACTAAATAAAAAAGAAAAAAACTGAAATTCATACCTTGAAAGAAAGAGACAAAGTTCATCCATGTCACTAACAAACCATGGTCCTCCAAAAATCTCTTAGCCACACTTTGATGAGAAAGGATATTAATAAAATCACTGACAAGAGGCCAATAAGTGTTATTCTTCAGCAATGCTTCTCCACAATTCACTACAACATGTAAACTATTTTCTTCATCTAAAACAGACAGAGACACATACACCCAGAAAAAATTAGCTTAAAAAAATAGCCTTACCAATGACAAAGATTATATATTTTAGAAACAGAGTCACCTAAATTCAAACCGAACCTCACATTTAATACCTATATGGCTTCAGGTATATTACATAGCTCTGAATCAATTTCCTCACCTATAAAAATGGGGAGAAAACACATATATTAAGGGAATTAAATGTTAACATAACACTTAGCACATCATTATAATTATTATTACTACCTGTCAAACATATTACACGATATTGAGTTATGAAACTATAAAAAAATACATAAACTTCTTAAGCCTTAAAAAAAAAAAAAAGCCTCAAAGTTTAAACACATCATTGGAAGAAAGAGACAGGGAGGATTAGGCTTGTAGAAAATCTTTACTATTAGAAGTTATAACATGTATGTATTAGCTCTCTTGACCTATTTCCCTATTCCAGCTTAACTGATTCACCGGACAAACAAGCCCCCCATTCCCACTGTAAAACACATTAATACCCATAATACAAAGAATGCTCAAAATCGAGCCTATTCCAGGCTACACAAGCCCCAAGGTATATGCTTATCCAGAGTCTGTTTTTGTTTCTGTTCATACTAATTGTTCTTTGTATTATAAAATTGAAATTACAAGTATATAATCTGATAAAACATGAATGCATAAATAGAGCTATTATAAAAACTGGATCATAAGCTTTTCAAAGACAATAAAAGTGCCTAAGAAAATCTTGTAGGAGAAAAATTGTTAGAGTACAGAAGATTTTCAAAACTCAGACTGTTTCATAAAAATTCTTATGTTCTTATTCTACTTTAAAGAAACTGAAAATGGAAATCAGAGGTGCTGCTTTACAAATGTAGTATATACAAGAAGGATAAGAGAGAATTCCAGTAAAGAATACAATAACTTACAAATGCTTTGCCCAAAATGAAAAGACTGGAGAACAAACAAGCATCCCTGTAATTTAAGTTAAAATCCTCTGTTTAAGATATCTATGTATCATTTTTTAACAATTCCTCGCTCTAATCAACTTTCTAACTAACCACCCTATTGTCAAACTCATCGGTGAAGAGGGCTTCTACTGTACTTCATATTTCCATAAATTAAATTTAGGTTTCAGTTCATGAAATTATTTCACCCAACTCAAATTTAACAACATATGAAACAGGACCCACAATAGAATGAGAAAGGGTACAGCTGAATGAGGAAATGGAGATAAGGGAACTTTTACAAATTACCCACACCTAAGATTTGGAAACAGTGACAGACTTTATTTTTGGGGGTTCCAAAATCACTGCAGATGGTGACTGCAGCCATGAAATTAAAAGACACTTACTCCTTGGAAGGAAAGTTATGACCAACCTAGACAGCATATTAAAAAGCAGAGACATTACTTTGCCAACAAAGGTCCGTCTAGTCAAGGCTATAGTTTTTCCCGTGGTCATGTATGGGTGTGAGAGTTGGACTGTGAAGCAAGCTGAGCACCGAAAAATTGATGCTTTTGAACTATGGTGTTGGAGAAGACTCTTGAGAGTCCCTTGGACTGCAAGGAGATCCAACCAGTCCATCCTAAAGGAGATCAGTCCTGGGTGTTCACTGGAAGGACTGATGTTGAAGCTGAAACTCCAATACTTTGGCCACCTCATGAGAAGAGCTGACTCATTGGAAAAGACCCTGATGCTGGGAAAGATTGAGGGCAGAAGGATGAGATGATTGGATGGCATCACCGACTCAATGGACATGAGTTTGAGTAAACGCTAGGAGTTGATGATGGACAGGGAGGCCTGGCACACTGCGGTTCATGGGGTTGCAAAGAGTCAGACACAACTGAGTGACTGAACTGAACTGAACTGAAGATTCGGAAATGTTCTCTGACAACTACAGCCATTATGAGTCAGTGAGCAGTTGATTTTGATGGGACAGTGCTTAGGGATGCTGAGATTTTTTTTAACTTTTATAAACACTGAGAATCACTGTTTAATTGAAATCAGAGGATGAGTAAGCGGAATACAATTAATCAAAATCACTATTTTCCTGACACTGCTTTAAATACTACTGTTCTTGTGAAAAATACCTTGGAATCTATAATGAAACAAAATGACTAGAACTTCTATTTTTATCCAACTGATACTTTTCCAAATATAGATACAGAGAGAGCCATGATTCAGTGTTAGATGATATTCACTCAGCAACAAATATTTACTGAGCTCCTACCGAGAGTCCAGCATTCTAGTAAGCTCTGAAAATAAAGTGGAAAGTAAGTCAAGATTTTATACAGTCTCTTTCTCTGCTGAGATTAATATAAGAAGACACAGCATGGTAGGGCTGTAATAGGAAGAGTACAAGAAATCATAAGAACAAATAAAGCTGGTCTACAATTTAGGAAAAAGAGTTTCCTGAGGAAGTGATGTTTATACTGAGATTTATAGAATGATGTAGACATTGGGATTAGCCAAATAAACTAGACATGAGGAGGAAATGGTATTCTAGGTAGAGGAAGCAGTATAAAAAAGATTGGAACTACTGGACAAAGAATGCAAAGGTTAAGTGGCACCAGTGAGTCTAGATGGCCTTATAAGTCAGCTTCAGGAGTTTGCAGTTCATGAGACGAGAATGGCAAGCCACAGAGGGGGTTTTAAGCAAGAGAGGACATGAATAGATGTTTAGTGTGGAAAGTGATTATAGAAGAGTCCTGATGACTAGTAATAGAAGGCCTAGAGATGGCAATGGCTTGAACTATGGTGCTGGCATAAAGAGCAAAGATGAAAGGAACTGGCTATTCTAATATATTTAGAAGGATTTAAATGACAGACCTGGTGATGGTCACTATATCTACAAAGGGTAAGAAGTCAAAACTGACTCCTAGGTTTTGGGCTGGGCAGCTCTGTAGATGGTTAATGTGATGCGAAAACACCAACTTGAGCACTAACACACACAAACTTATAGACACACACACACATGTAATAGGAAAGAAGCAGAACTTCATTTTTGGTGTTGACATTGTGTGTGTGAGGTGCTTGCAGACATCCAAAGAATATAGTTCAATAAATAATATGATATTCAGGACAGATGATCAATCTGGCATTATGAGCAACTACAGACATTCCTATAGTTATGCAACACATGGTTTAAAGTTCCATTCTACACAGAAAATTTCACAGAACAAACTATAAAATTTCAGGGATATGGAAAAGTATAAGAAAGAAAAAGTATAAGGAAGGGGTCATGTGCTACTAGAGGCTTTTCCCTTTTAATCTTCAGCTATTGCTGTGGCCATGTGAATACTCATTATATCAGCTCCTATACTTACTAACAGTATAGACAAAATTTTCAAACACAAGTGGCAATGCATACAAAGGCCAGACAGAGGCTGTTACAAACTAAAAAGCATAGAGAACCTGGGTAATATCTGTAGTTAATTCAATATATCTAAAGCTCATTCCAATACTCTTCATGTAAAAACAAGGAAAACATATGGTGTTTTTAGAAAACCAGTAAATATGTACCATGAAATGTTACATACTTTTGAAAGAGGAAACAAAAACAGCACTGGAGCTAAATATAGTGTTAGACTTGGCTTAGAAATAATGTAATTTATTGCTAGAAAAAATACATTTATATTTTAAGATCTTAGCAATGCTACTTATAGCTATTTAGCTTTTGGAATATTCAATCTGTGTAAGAATTTCCAGGACAGACTAACTGCATTAGAAGAAAGTATATGTAGAAAGCAATGAAGACTATGTAATACAATTTCAGAAAACACTGGAAAAGTAAGAAACGCAGAGATACCAAGACCAAGTGCCAAGAAACACCAACACTGACAGAAAAAGCAGAAAATAATTTCACACCACACAAAGAACAGAGAATCAACAGTGTGAAATGCTAATGAAAATCAAGCAAGATAAGGTCCAAAGTTTTATCAACAGCTGCCTTATCATGTAGTCATAGAAAGGGTGACCATATAATTAATCATATAAACTGGAACACTTTTGAGAGTAAAAAAGACAGTATTAAAATTGATGTCAAAATAACAGGCATAACCTAGAGTAGTTCTAGGAAAAGTAGGACATGTGGCTAACGGAGTCCTGGACAATTCTGGAGAAGCAACAGATCGATGGCAACAAACACTAGATGGAGGTGTGTTAGTGAGTGACTGGAAGTTAAGGAAACAAATACAAAAACTCTCACAGGAAAGGTGGCTAGGAAAAAAAAATGGGAGGCAGACTCATATACATCTTCTTCCCAAACATTCTTTTCTAAAACACAAGCCATACATAATAAGCACAGCTAAACCACTTAGTCAAGAAAAAAGATTCAATTCTTTTGAGAAGAGTAGATACTTTTCATTTTTCAAGTTTGCCAGTTTATAAATTAAAAATGCTGTATTTGTGAAAAGTCCTTTTCTAATTATATAATTCTATGTATAAGAATATCATTGATACAGTTCAACAATGACAGATACTATTTCAAAAAAGAAAAAGAGTAATATACCCAGCTGATGGACAGAGAGCTGGCATGCTGCAGTCCATGGGGTTGCAAAGAGTTGGACACGACTGAGCAACTGAACTGAACTGAATATACACAGCTAAGTATCTAATAAAGAAAAGGGCATCCTACACAAAGATAGAAAAATAATGCAAAGCAGTTTTTAATATTTCCATTAAAAAGGTAAAGAAGTATACTGCTTTATGTAAATAATATATTCTCCCACTATACTTACAATGGGAAGTCAGAGTTGTTGTACATAGTGAGGCGGAGAATGAGTTTTGAAGTCAGACAGCTAGACTTACACTCACAGCTATAAAACCATAGATCACTGACTTCTCAACTCCCTAAGCCACAGTTGCCTCACCTATAAAATGGAAAAAACAGCATCTACTCCCCAGCATTACTGATGGTTACATTAGATGAAACATATTAAAGCACTGGGAAAGAAACCATGGTATACAGTGAGTGCTCAAAAGATGGCAGCTCTCATCATTATTAGTGAGCTATTATTACATAGAAGGCATCATGCCTGCACTGACCCCTATATAAATTTTCAGGCCATGGAACTGCACCTGAGAATAGGCAGACTATCAGTATAAAGAGAAAACAGGAGCTCGTATGCAAAAGGAGGCAACAGCAAAAGGCACGTCTCAAGCATAAGGTCTCCCATTCACAGAGAATGGAAACGTCCTAAGATTAAATTTGAGGCATTGTTTGTTATTATTTTCTATATTTAGCTCCAAGTGCCAACAAGTGAAGACAAAGTCCTATTAAAATTGACCTGGCTGTATTGTGGTTAAGAACAAAGATTCTGACATCAGGAGATACAAAGTCCTTCTTGGTTCTGTCATCTACTAACTTATATATTCTACGACAAATGACTCAATTTCTCTAAGCCTCAATTTACTCATCTTTAAAGTGGAAATAATAATAACACCAATCTAGAGTGCTGTTCCTGGAGTAGGAAATGGCAACCCACTGCAGTATGTTGCCTGGAAAATCCCATGGACAAAGGAGCCTGGAAGAATGCAGCCCATGGGGTCGCAGAGTTGGACACGACTGAACGACTGAGCATACACAGAGAGTTGTTCAGAAGTTTAATTGAAATAATGTATAGGTAATATTAACACAGTGCCTAGTACATAGCAAATACTCAAATATTATAAATTATTATGAGGAGGTAAAGTCAAGATGAAAGAAAGACCACAAAGAAATAAGAATGAGAGGAATTCCTAGAAATGTTACGGCAATATGAAAAGTCTTTAAAGAAGAAAATTAAAGATCACATTAAAGAACATACAAAAGGCAAGATTTACTTCAACTTTTAAATTATAAAAGTATACACATATAAAATGTCTAAAGCTGATAATAACAAATTCATGATTGCAGAAATAGAAATATATCTAATAAGAAAATGGTTAAGTAAGTTACAGTAAAGTCATATGATATTACTATCTGCAATCATTAAAAACATGTTCTTAATGTGTATACTTGACAGAATATTTTAAAGTACATATTCTTATCTACAAAAATACTCAGCTCACAAAAAGAAATGAAACATCCCAAGATGTTAACAAGCTGTTTGTGAATAACAAAACCATAAAGTTTTTTCTTTAAATTTTGCTAAAATTTTTCAAGCTTTAACAAGTATGTATTATTTTGTAATATTTTTAAAAGTTACTTTTAAGCATAAAAAGAATTTTTAAGGCTAGTTATGCAAAGTGTACTTATAAAACCAGTGAAAATAATTCTGAGTTTACCTTGTAGCTCACTTTTAATAAGGCAACTTTCCATCATGTATAACAGCACAGTGACCATAATATCCAGCAGCTGACATTCTTCTGTTACCTGTCTGGCTAGCTCTTCATTGCTGAACAACTGAACACTAATATGCACAATTCTGTTAGACATAGTATCTGATTCATGACTTTTCTTCAGTGTCTTCATAATGAAAGCATAATGCTGAACAAAAGTTTTTGTAAAAGCAACCTGTAAAATGTTTTAAACAGAAAGAAAAAAACAAAGTTTAAGTTAGATAACACATTTTCAACATATTATACCAGCATTTTTTTTTAATTTTTTTTTTATTTTTTTCCATTTATTTTTATTAGTTGGAGGCTAATTACTTTACATCATTGCAGTGGTTTTTGTCATACATTGAAATGAATTAGCCATGGATTTACATGTATTCCCCATCCCGGTCCCCCCTCCCACCTCCCTCTCCACCCGATCCCTCTGGGTCTTCCCAGTGTACCAGGCCCGAGCACTTGTCTCATGCACCCAACCTGGGATACCAGCATTTTAAAGCTATGATTAGCTTATGACAATGTCCAAGACAATTGGAAAAGTAATTTCAATGATGGTAGTCTTACATTTGTCCCTTTTTTGAAAATTTGCAAAATTGTTTGATAGTTAAAAAAATATTCAATATGCATTTTACATTATTAAAGTTTTAAAGCAATTACAAAGATGGTTTAAAAACACAAATCTTCACTTTGCACAAAGGTATCAATTCACTAATGTCAAAGTATGTCTTCATCCTGTGCTAACTACTTTAGCAATAAAATCTAAAGTCTCATTTGAAAATCATTAAGTTGTTTACACAACTGAACAATAAGTGAGTCAATGTGACTACTCCAAAAGAAATGATATTTTTTTCTATTTGATCTGAAAGCCAACCAATATTTAAGTTTTCTTTTTTGTGTACCATATACACTTCGTCTATTGTTTTCTTAAGTAGACATAAACACAAAAAACAGCATTATTAAAATGTCACTCCTAAAGAGGCTTTACTTCTTAAACCAAAGAAGAGCGAAACCATGATTCACTGTCTTTTCAGACACAAGGCTGTATAACTTTGCCATAACCATACAAGAGTAACTGGTGGGTCCACACCCTCTGAGACTAGAGACTTCACTCATCTACATGTGTACATGAGTCAATACCACTGTGTCTTTAACAGTTATGGCCAGAAGCTACTAACTCTGTGCTTTTCCCATGCTGAATCTCACAATCTAAATTCAGTTGTCCCCATTAAACATTTTCTCAAAGCATGTTGCATCTTTCTCCTTTAGAGAATTTACTACAATTTTTAACTACATATTTATTTGGGTAATTGTGCTTTTATTTGTCCCCCAGCAACTTCTCTGGACCAAGACTCATGCAGAAAGGTAACCCTAAGAATCCCGCTCTGTAAAAATGCTTTGACTCAGATCTCAAATACTGTGCTTTTTGTGTAGGCCCTCTTTTGGCAACTGAGCTGAGAAATATATCAAAAAGATTTAAAACTGAAAAGGCAAAGAAAAAAAAAAAAAAAGAAAAGGCAAAGAAAGGTGACCAAAGTTCAGAAAAGAAGGAAAAAATGTAGATACCTTATACTCTTGATCTGGAAGCATGTTGAGTAAGAAAGTCACCATCTTCTGGGGAAATTCATACTTTATTGTCCAAAACAATAGCTCTTCTAAGAAACTTTTATGTTTCAAAACATCCATTATGGATTGATCTACATAAGAAAAATAATATTTATCACCCTGATGATTTAGTTGTTCATCTCATTTAAGCCTTATTATAACAACCCAGCAACCTCAAATATCTGAATATGCCTAAAAATCAAGGCTATCCTTTCAATAATTCAAATGATAATACTAACAATATCAAGTTGTTTCTATAATGTCCACAGTACAATAAAATACTTAATCCTTATAATTCAATATAAAGTAGTTACCAGAAAAATAATTACTTGTCCTTAAACATAAGAACCAGACATGAAACAATGAAGTGGTTCCAAATTGGGAAAGGAGTATGTCAAGGCTGCATATTGTCACCCCGCTATTTTACTTATATGCAGAGTACATCATGCAAAATGCCAGGCTGGATGAAGCACAAGCTGGAACCAAAGACTTCTGGGAGAAATATCAATAACCTCAGATACACAGATGACACCACCCTTATGGCATAAAACAGACAGGAACAAGAGCCTCTTGATGAAAGTGAAAGAGAAGAGTGTGAAAAAGCTGGCTTAAAAATCAACATTCCAAAAACTAAGATCATGGCATCAAGCCCCATTACATCATGGCAAATAGATGGGGAAACAATGGAAAACAGTGACAGACTTTTTTTCCTTGGGCTCCAAAATGACTGCAGATGGTGACTGCAGCCATGAAATTAAAAGACGCTTACTCCTTGGAAGAAAAGCTGTGACCAACCTAGATAGCATATTAAAAAGCAGAGACATTACTTTGCCAACAAATGTTTGTCTAGTCAAAGCTATGGTTTTTCCAGTGATCATGGATGGATATGAGAGTTGGACTATAAAGAAAGCTGAGGGCTGAAGAATTGATGCTTTTGATCTGTGGTGTTGGAACAAACTCTTGAGAGTCCCTTGGACTGCAAGGAGATCCAACCAGTCCATCCTAAAGGAGATCAGTCCTTTAGAATATTCATTGGAAGAACTGATGCTGAAACTTCAATACTTTGGCCACCTGATGCAAAGAGTTGACTCATTTGAAAAGACCCTGATGCTGGGAAAGATTGAAAGCAGGAGGAGAAGGGGATGATACAGGATGAGATGGTTGGATGGCATCACCGACTCAATGGACATGAGTTTGAACAAGGTCCGGGAGTTGGTGATGGATAGGGAAGCCTGGAGTGCTGCAGTCCATGGGATCACAAAGAGTCAGACACAACTGAGTGACTGAACTGAAGCATAAGCCCTTTATCTAAAATTTCTACTATGACTTAAAACAATTATCTTACAAGAACAATATTCATGGCACATAATTTAAATAGTAATAATTTTAAACTAAAAACATACTATTAAGGACAAACTCTGACTTTGTTTTGAAAAATCTTTATAGGATAATTTATCTATTTCTTTAAAATTATCCTTCATAAATGAAATGCTAACTTCACTAGAGAAAATAATCATTAGTGCACTGCTTACTCTAATATACAAAGGCATTTACTCTCTTCTGGTAGGAACATACCAGGAAACATAGAATGTTAGCTATGTTTACTTGCACTGGATTCAAGACATCCTCTTCATACATAGAGGAAACAGGAAATGGATGTCCCTTTTGAATTAAAAGGTATTCAAAGGGGGAATAAATTAACTCCTGGAAAGCCTATTTCTAAAGCCAAGTGCCACTCCTTGAGGAGTGCACACCTTAGGCTCTCTCCTGCTTATCTCTGCCTCCTTACCTTGCTGAATCAATAGAAAGGTCTCAACTGGTACACGAGGAACTGAATTTTTTTAAATTTTACACTGGAATATATTTGATTACCAATGCTGTGTTGTTTCAAGGTGTACAGCAAAGTGCGAATTGAATGTTTTTAATACTTTGGTTCTCTTTTACCCCTCAAAATGAACTAGAAAATTCTATTAATCTTTACTAAAACAAACTATCTTGGGATACTGCTCTGAATCATCAACTCTATATAAGGGCATCAAGTGTCAACTATGGACTGGTTCAGTGCTTAAGCAAGAACTAGAGTCAGATAAGAGATCTGAAAAACCAGTATCACATGAATCAAAATACTCAGGTACAGTCCTAACTAATTACATGTCAAGTAGTCTTCCAGGGTAATCTTGCAGAATTTTTTAATTAACCCTACCCCAATCCTATCCCCATGTTACAGTTCTTCTATTATTGAGTAAAGTGTTCGTATCATAGGTGGCTCAGTGGTAAAGAATCTGCCTGCCAATACAGCAGACTCAAGAGAGGCAAGTTTGATCCCAGGGTCAGGAAGATCCTCTGGAGGAGGAAATGGCAACCCACTCCAGGATTCTTACCTGGAAAACCCTATGGACAGAGGAGCCTGACGGGCTACAGTCCATGGGCTGGCAAAAGAGCCAGACACAACTTAGTGACTAAACAATAACATCATGATCTCCTCAGGTAATGAGTCTAAAAGAGTAACAACTCAGTATTTAATCACTCTCTTGATTTTTTCGTAAAACACTGAGCTTAATAAGACTTAAATCAGATACAACTTTAACCCAATTTCCCATTAATAATTAACAACCACTATTTTCAGAATAACAGATTCATTACTCTAGAAACACTATGATTTAAACTACCCAGAGACAAAAATATCTGCTAATCCCCCATCTAACTCCCTTTCAATGGAGCCTTCAGAATAAGCCATATGCAGAAGGACTAAAAATAGAAATACAATTATACTACACAGCTCTTACTTGGAAATAAAAATTATTTATTTTTCAAATCTCACAATTTTCTACTTGTAAAACAGAAATCTCTTCCTCCTGCCACTTGCAGGACATGGCAATGATTTAAAAGAGAAATGACCAGTTTTGCAAGAAATGAGGCAAAATATATTCAAAGGTCACACTGACAGATTCAAAGTCAAAAAGTAATAAAATTAGGGGTCAAATGAATTAGGTGACAGGAATAAAAAGATTATAATTAAAAATTAGAATATAACCTAAAGCACACATTGTTGAAGCCAATTTAATTCTCAAAATTCACTTGGTACTAACATGATTGAGAATTTCACTGACTACCAAAAAAAATCCCTGCCAGATAACTGCTTCTGAAAATAATTACAAAGCTGAACAAAACTAGTAGTATTTATTCTTTTTTTTAAACTAGTAGTATTTATTCTTAAATTCATAGTTATAACTCTCTGCAAGTTTGTATAACCAAAGAAAAGCCTGAAGCTACTATAATTGTATATCAAGCATTAAAAATTAAAGATATATTAACTTTGTTTTAAATAAATAAAATAATCGAATACACCAGAAAAGCTGTGCCTTCTATTATAATGAAAATAGCTGCTGTTATGTACAATCCAATTTTTCTATCTTCAGACATAAAAGTTGGGGGGGGGTGAACCACAATGTCTTCACTGTCATTCTTAGAAGATACCAGTTTCCCAAGATATTTAAAGCATGTGTTATGTGTTTTATATGTTATGTTATAGAAATCTGGTTAGAAATGCTTTCATTACTTATGTATGATTATTACCTTTAAAATCTTGATTAAACTGTCATGACCTTCAGAACACCTAAAACCACTTCAAGCGAAACTGTAAAATGAAATTTCTGAAGAATCAGTATGTGGTATAAATGAATGATAGCTTTTAATTTAGACAATAGAGTCCAGGCTCTGCAACTCACCAGCTCATCTTGGCCATGTTAGCTGAAGTCCTCTAGGGCTAAGTTTTTCATCCTTAAAACTGAACTTTTGAAAATAGGTAGTGATGTGTTTGTTAGCACAGTGCCTCTCCTCTTGTCCATCATTACATACTTTATTTTCAGCTCGCTTTCAAACTGTTGAATCAAATTCTTACAAAAACTAAACCACTCTGGACTTCAGACATTTTCAAAAGCAACAATCACTTCTTGGAAAGAGTTTCTACTGACTGAAAAAGCCATTTCTTCAATGTACATACTCAAACCAAACATAACTAATAAGTTTTACATCTTTACTCCTTCTTACCAGTAAAAGAAGGAAGGGACAACAGTCCATCTCAAATGCAAAAAATCCAGATGTAAAGAAAACAAACTTCAACATCAAGTCTGCATAAAATGTATCTTAAGCCAGAGTTTGACCAGGCTGAAGGAAAACAATGACCTCTTAACACCACGGGAGGTATTTTCCAAACATCCTTGAAGCTTAAACTCAAGTATATGCCTAACAATCTCCTCCAACTCAAATGTGTCTCAAGGACTCAGGTAAGCACATGCATAATTCTGGTTAAGTCAAAGAGCCAGGTAGTCAAATGGGTTTCTAATTTCTTTCAGGCATTACAGGTTTTCTGCAGGGCCAAGAAAAAGGGGAACACGTTGCAGGCGTGCGTCCTGGACAGCAAATCAAATTTCATGCCCTCTGCTAACAGTCCATCAGTTGAATGCAGCAACATGAGTAACTAAGAACAGACGTACAAAATGAGCCTCAACTGAAACTGTCTGCTTGCTCCACCTTTCCAAGCAGTCTTAAACTTTCCAAAAGACACACTTGGCAGTAGAAAAAATAATCTTTTCATGAAAACATTTTAACCTCTGGAGACTTTCTAACAGATAACCCAGAAAATAAGACTACGCTAAGATTCAGAAATCCATTTCAAAAATGGGAGCACAGGCTACCAACCAATAACAAGTACTCTCAAAAAGCTTTTAGGGAGGGTCAAGAAAATATACTGATAAAGCATTTAAACTCTGGGATTTGAATTAAGGACCTACCTCTCATTAGCCGTTACGCCTAACACACCTTCATTCCTCATTCATAAAACAGTAGTAACAATAAAACCTACTTCATATGGTTACTGTGAGAATTAAATGACAGAATGCACATGCTGTGATTAGCACTATGTCTAGCATATACAAAAGTTCAATACATATTACTTATTACTAACCTATTCCCTTACTGTAGGCATATCTACTTTCTCCTTTGCATCAGTATATATTGAGTCCTTACTGAGCCCTTAATATGTGTTAAGTGCCATTCATTCTCATTTTCTTTCACTGTTGTTACTTCTTCTGACACATACCCACACTACTTCCCTGCTGCTCATCCTTTTTCATTCTAGAAATTGCATACCCTGAATTTAAAAAAAGATACAAATCAAATTAAAGCTTTATAGCAAAAATGCTGGATCCAAATCAAAAGATTCAACGAAAAGACTATTTTTCTGGCTCAAATATAATATTGCTCATTTTATGAAGAAAACAATGAACAAAAATCCCAACAGTAAGGGTTTCACTTGCTTTTGAGGTCCCCCACAATCATCCCCTAACAACACTTTCTCCAAATTGAACACATCTAATAACATAACTCTCTCTTCAAACAGCTTTGATGGCCAGCCAACCAAGTGCTCTTAGTGATTAAGCATTTTTTAACACAAGAAAAAAACAAAATATAAATACCTTTGGTGTTACTACTTAGTTTGACCCTCTTTCTCTTGCCCAGACCTTGACTCCCATCTTGATCCTCCTGGAGAAAAACAAAATTAGCATTATCTGTAGTCCTAGTCATGAATTTATATATTTTATGTATATTTAAGTATGCTTATAAATTATATTAAATATAAAATATAGGTGTGTTTACATATTGTTAATAATTTTACTCTTATGTATTTGCTATAATAAAATATATTTTAATACTGACAACTTTTAATTTAAAATTAGCATTATAATTAAATATATCATGAAAATTCTTAGGATTAAAATGCAAGAGTTCTTAAACTTAATCTGTGCCTCTAATGAAAGACTCTCAAATGCCCCAAAATCCCAAAATAAAAATCTTCCTAGGCTTATAAGCAAAATACTAAATGCACAAAGAAGCTAAAGAGGAGAAGGGAAAAGATTAGCATAGGAGGGAAGAGGAGAAGGGGAAGGGGATTAAAACAATGAATAGAGGAAAAGTTCTGAAGAGTATAATACAAACAAATGAGTTCAAGAGATCAAGTTCTGAAAAATAAACACAGTATGTTAGAAGCTGGAGTTGATGGTCAAAAAAAATATTAATAAAAACAAATTATTATGTGGCTCAGATGGTAAAACATCTGCCCGCAATGCGGGAGACCCGGGTTCGATCCCTGGGCCGGGAAGATCCCTGGAGAAGGCAATGGCAACCCACTCCAGTACTCTTGTCTGGAAAATTCCATGGACTGAGGAGCCTGGTAGGCTACAGTCCATGGGGTTGCAGAGTTGGACATGACTGAGCAACTTCATTTTCACTTTCACTTTCACTAGGAAAGAAATCCAAGAAGAAAATATATGTATTTCTGCTCACATGTGATATATCCATTCCTGAAAAAATACCTCACATTAAAAATAACAAGGCTTATGGGGAATAGAAGAGTGAGGGACAGACCCTTCACAACCTATTCTGTAACCAAGGAAGTGTATAACCAAAGAAATAACAAAAGTAATAATTGGTACCTGGGGAGATCATTTGGATGCCCAGGCAAACATCTTGGAGTGGTTTGAGCGTGTCTCACGGGATGCTAACAGCATACCACCACAACAGAGTGGGAAGCTAGCTGGCTGAGAACATGAACGGAAGAGGAGCGAAGCAAGCAGCCTGCTAGCAGTAAAACCAACAGTGAAGCCAGGAATGTGTCTCTAACGCAGGAAGCCATGGGTGCAGGTGCTCAGTTCTATTTTCTTCAAATGTTGCTGAAAAGGTTCCTGCTCCCTTCGCAGATGAGGGTCTGTTTCTCTCCAGATAAAGGGTATGACTGTACCCCATTATCCCAGATCTCATGAACTATTGCACAGTTCAGGAAAGACTGCATAGGAATCCAAAACTCCCATGTTATACTGACATCCTTTTCCTATTTTCCAAACATATATGAGCCAACTGGTATTATAAAGACATGTGTGGTAGTATTTTGGCATACTGTCTGTTGTGCTAACCAATTAGGCTGATGGCAGGATAGAACCATGGTACAAATTCCCAGACACTTTCTCAATTAAATCAAACCTCCAAAGCAGAAAAGCCTCAGCTTTATGCTGTGGCTCAACCCACTGGTGTAGTATTCTTGGCCTACATACCAAGACTTAACTGCAAGTTTCTGACAAGTCCAGCATCAGCCCTCAGGACCAGTCTGGGGGTTCCCAAAGATACCTCACAGCTCAGGCATTCAGCATTTACTAAGCACTTCCATATGCCCTCTGTTAACCCCCACCAAAGCCAGGCCTCTATGGTCATCTACTTGGCAGCAATAGTGACAGTCAAACTCCACTCCCTCTTCTTTCGCCACCCTCACCTTGTGCAAAGAGAAACTCAGCCAGTGTGAAATTTTGAGCCATAAAAGACAGATACACGAATGTAAACCATGCCACAAGACCCAGAAGATTTTAAAATTTGAGATTTTAGCTAATAGTCATTTATTAAACTGTTCTCCTGGCCAGAGAAAAAGAAAAAAAAAAACTTTCAATATTATATTCCAGGTTAGGATTATTTCATAATTTCAAATAAAAACTTCCTGTGAAAAGTGTATCCTTGGTCAAGCAATGGCCATGACAATACAAAGTTTTAAAAATTTCCCAAACTTATGCTTTAAAGGACAAGTAAAATTAGTCCAGCTAGGGAGAGGAAAGTCATTCCAAGAAGGCACAAAGACAAAAGTCTAGAAACAAAGATTAGCCTGACATCATCAGAGATATCAAACTCAGCTAGGAATGGAGTCTACCTCCATTTAAACAGGTAGGATAATGGGTCTTATACTACACTATAGAGAGTATATAACAGAACAATTTTCCTGAATGGCAATTTGTCAATACACATATGAAAAGTCGTTAAACTATACCCATCACTGGAACAGAAATTCCAGTTCTAAGAATTTATCTTAAAGAAATAATCAGACAAGTGATTAGGGACTATCTGGATAACACTCATCACAATGTTGTTTACAACGGCAAAAAAAAACAACTTTGGTTTCCAACAGCAAAGCAGGGAATTAGGGAAGTAAACTATAGCACAAATATACTCTTTAAAGAAAAACAACAATAGAGTTCCATATTCATAATGACCAGGTAAATGTTCAAAACTATTACTATAAATAGAAAAAAAAAAGCATACCATGAAGGATAGCATATGGAGTATGAAACCATTTAAGTAGTGATATCACACACAAATAAAATCTGTTAAAATATACTCTTTGTTACAGGTGTTTAAAACTATCATTAGTAAAAAAAGCAGGTTACAGAATAGCATATATGGCATGGAGCCTCTAAAATATACCATATATAAAATCTGTTAAAATACATATGATTAGAGTAAGTCACCTCTAAGTGATAGAGTAATAGGTAATTTCATCATCTTTTCATTAATATTAATTTTATATTGATTCAATAACAATGAATTATAGCTTTAAGCTAATCAGTGTTTTTAATACTAGTTATGATTTCCAATCCTAACTACAACAATCTACTCAAGATAATGGATTAGTGTATTATCTATTTCAAGTTCTATTTTTTTTGGCCGCACCTCGCAGCATGTAGGATCTTAGTTCGCCAACCAGCGATGTAATACCCGCCCCTGCAGTGGAAGCATGCAGTCTTAACTACTGGGCCACTAGGCAAATACCAAGAAAAAACAACAGTTTCAACGAACAGGAATAACTTCCAGTGGTGGGATATTCAGGCATTAAGGAAGATGAAAACAATTTAGTTACCATGACAACAAGACCCCACCCCAAACTCAAGATGGAGAGTTAGAGTTCTTCCCCTTTTATCCACGAGAAAACAGTATAGAACCCTGGGGGAAAATAAGGGGTCCCGTGAACAAGAGGAAATAAACAACCTCAACTGAGACAGCATTCATACAGCTCTCAGAAACACTCAAAATGTTACCTAGGTTCCTGAGTAGAGAAGTAGACAACACTGCTATGTGTGTTTCAGGCACAGGTAGACTCCCTTCCTAGCTGAGTTTGATATCCATGTCCAATATCAGAGAAGACCCTTACCCCCACCTTGCCCCCCATCCCCCCAGAAAACAGATTCAAACTCCTAGCCTGAAAAATTTACAGGTGTTTTTCAACCCAAATTAACCTTTCTTTCTTTGATGGATTTACTGGACAGATGAAAAAATATGAGCTCCAAAAAAAGAAGTCAAGTTAAGTTCACAGTTGGCTAAAACAATACTCAAAGAATGTTAATACAAAATACACAAGGCTTAAACGAACATTTAACATAGCAGATTATAAAAATAAAATCCAAAGAGAGATCTTGAGAAACTAGAATAAAACGAAAACATTTATGTAAGCCACTGTAACACAAGACTGTTTGCTTTAAATCAATTTTACAAAACAAAGCAGAGACAGAGCTCTCAAACTTGTCAGCTGTAAATCTGAAGGGGTGAGTGAGTGAGGGACCTGAGTATTTCATTTGACCACTGGAGCTTCTGCTACAGTTTAGCACTGCTGCTAAAATGCTAACAAAAAACCTTAGGCTAAAGGAAGCACAACATGCTTCATGATAAGCTGTCCTTGTGACTATGTACCAAATCAGATCATAATTTTAAAAGGGACTGAAGAGGGGAAAGAGCTATGAACAGCAGAGAATACTGTATAACTAAAGCTAAAAAGTTAAAGGGATGTCTAAGGGAAGTAAAATTAAAACGTTTCTATAGGGGAAAACAAGAAGAAAGGTGGGAAAATTATAATATTTAACAGTATTGAGAAGAGATTCCTAATAATTAGAGCTATCAAACAAAGGAACGAGTTGCCTCATAAGCTAGGTCAGCTCTCAGCCACTGGAAGTGTTTATGGAGGGGCTGATCATTTGTGAGGAATGTCATAAAATCAAACGCTAAACTGGCAAAGAAATGTCTTAACTATTTCCAAGGCCTCCTCACCAAAATTTCCGTGATTCCCCACTCTTTATCTTTTACCTTTAATGTAATTTATAACTAATTAAAAATCAAACCTTGTACCTCTAAAAGTAAAGCCATATTTTTCTTTTTTATTTTTTGGGCTCCAAAATCACTGCAGATGGTGAATGCAGCCATGAAATTGAAAGACGCTTACTCCTTGGAAGGAAAGTTATGACCAACCTAGATAGCATATTAAAAAGCAGAGACATTATTTTGCCAACAAAGGTCCATCTAGTCAAGGCTATGGTTTTTCCAGTGGTCATGTATGGATATGAGAGTTGGACTGTGAAGAAAGCTGAGAGACAAAGAATTGATGCTTTTGAACTGTCGTTGGTGAAGACTCTTGAGAGTCCCTTGGACTGCAAGGAGATCCAATCAGTCCATCCTAAAGGAGAAGGACTGATGCTGAAGCTGAAACTCCAATACTTTGGCCACCTGATGCAAAGAGCTGACTCATTGGAAAAGACCCTGATGCTGGGAGGGGTTGGGGGCAGGAGAAGAAGGGGACGACAGAGGGTGAGATGGCTGGATCGCATCACCGACTCAATGGACATGAGTTTGAGTCAACTCCAGGAGTTGGTGATGGACAGGGAGGCCTGGTGTGCTGTGAT